AATAGCTGGGGTTCATTCATTTCAATAAACAATCTAGTAAAAGTTTGATCATTTCAGTAGTAGTATATTAAAAATAAAATGGTTGCTTCTGTACAAAAACTCAGCAGTCATACAGTCATAGTTCTGGATAGAGATGGATTTAGTGTTTACATGTTAAAAATTATTTGGTGAATTAATTATGGTGAAAGAACACCAAGTCTGGTTATTGTGTTTCTAGAACAAAAAAAAAAAAATCTGGTACAACCTTATTATTGTCCTAGTACAGGCCATCCTTTTCTGTTTAATTGCTGACATCTGGCAACACAGTGATGAAGTGCTCACAGTAATTTATTTTTACAGTATAGAGGTGAAAACACCACTTTTATGTTTTCTCTTCATAATGACAAAACTACAAAGACCCCGAAGTCCCGAAAGATGTGCACAAGTTATCTTGTGCAAAAAAGGTGGCACAATGGTGATAACATGCTCACATTGACAATGCTGATGTTCAGCAGGTATAATGTTTACCATGGTGTTCATCTTAGTTTGGAGTGTTAGCATGCTAGCATACGCTAATTAGCACTATGATGGAGATGTTATCATTTTACAAGTATTTAGGCATAAGTCAAGTCATGGTCAAATAAAAATGTTGACCTGATGATGGCAGTTATCACAGTTCATATCCTGAAGGTATCACGAGTGTCTGCACCACTTTCACTTATTACAGGATAAGTGACAGTTTGACCCGGTAGTGGAGGTAGATTGAAAGGTCATGGGGTCACCAAAATAATTACAAATCATCCTCTTAAGACCATGAATTTCTGCACCAAGTTTCATGGCAATCCATCCAATGTTTGTCAAGAGATTTCGCTAAAAACCAAAACTTGTAAACATCCTGCTAGCACTAGAGAATAAGTCAGGAAAACTTCGTTGTCTTTTTCCTCTGGTGACCATATGTCTGTACCAGATTTCACGGCAATGCATACAAGAATTTTTGAGATATTTTAGTCGAGACCAAAGTGGTGGACAGACTGACAGACATTGCCATTGACAGACCACAGAGCTAGTGTAGCTAAAAAATATCTTTAAGCACTTCGGGCGCTCTGTACAAGACTTCTCATATTATAACAAGATTCATTTCTTCTTACAATGAGATGCTTTGTCATGATAACTCTTGGTCTTTTGTCATTATTACAAGATCTTTTTTTTTTGTTGTTGTAACAGTAAGATGATTTCATCCTAGCGAAATACATTTCTGATTTGTTGTATTTTTTGTAACTGGTGGCAGTTCTGTGCTGCCATGGAAAACTGCTCTGTATGGACCGATTTGCTGAGGCATGTTGTACTTGTGGCCACGTCTCAGAGCAGCTGTGCAGTGCAGCAGTAGTTTTCTGTCCCCCTGCCATTCGCTGCTGATTTTTTCAAATCACAAATGTGGTTTCACAGCAGGTCTTTAGTGTTGCTGTGAAGCTCAGTGCCGCACTCTCTGCGAGATGTACCACAACAGTGCTCAGTGACAAGGATCCATGGGTTGCATTCACCAAAACCTTCACCCAAAGTCTGTGAGTTAGTTATACACTGTTAGTCGTCATATTGAAAATTGCCAGAAGTCGTCACTGTATGAGCAATAAAAAAGTTCCCCATCATCCCTTGTGGTAAATCCTCTACCTAAGCTCGAGAAACCCTCACTCGCTCACGCTCTGCTGCCTGCACTAAAGGTTCCTCTGAGTCGGATGTTTCCCTGCCCTGATGATGAAAGCAAGCAGAAGTTCAGCTCTGCTCTCCCATAATCTGTGTCTAACAATAGGGCCCTCCATGAATCTGCACTGTGTGTCTATGTACACAAAAAAGCTTTTTCTTTCTCTCTGTAAGCAATAATGACGTTGCATTAAAAGGCTCTCTGGGGGTTTGTCTTCTGCTGAAGGATGCAACAAAATGTAGTTCTGTCAGCCATACTTGAAAGGTCACAGAACATAAATGCTGAGTTCGTGAAGGCAATTTCCCATTCATTTTTCCCATAGAGAATAGGATTATGAATCATAACTTGCTGCCTGTGGTAAGGTTCACTTAACACACTCCTACACTTTCTACAAGAAGTGATTTCACCTTCTCCTTGTGAAATATGACATTTCTCTAGAACACATCACCAAGTCTGTGACCAGCTAGTTTTTGAGTTTAAAAGCTAAGCTTAAATGATTTGCACGTCCATGGAAAAATGAATGTGGAGCCAAGCTTTCTTCTTTAAAAAGGAGCGGTGATACATGAGGCAGGACATTTCAGTTGTATTGGCATTCCTCAGCAGTTTGGACATCGGTGTACATGTGAAAAGACTGCCTCTATGCAATCTGTTCAAATGTAGACCAGTGGTCAATATGGATGAGGAGGATATGATCACTGAGGACTGTGATTGGTTCAAGCCAGCAGCCCTCTCCTTCTTGTCCTCCGGGCTTGAAGACAAACCCCATGATTGGCTCTTATTCAACATGCAGGATAGGTTTAAAAAAACAAAACAAAAAAAAAACAGTAAAACACATGTTGAGTACCTGTATTATCTGTGTTCCTGTAGTATATATTAATATATGTATTGTAACTGGTGACTAATTATCATGTATATAAAGATTAGACCAAGTCTTTGGCTGACGCCTTTTCTTTTCTTTACTTTGTCAGTTTGGTTTCTTTCTTCAAGTGAAGTTTCTGCTCATGATTGGCCAACTAAAGCCTTTCATCTGCTCCTGACATCACTTAGGGCAGGTTTAGAAATGTTTGAAGGGGTGGTGGTGTTGGTGAGGCACAATTTTAAAGAAGAGAGCACATTTGCAAAATAAAACATGTAAACATGAGTGAGCCTACAGCTGGCCACCCCTCAACTCTGTACATACAGCCCAGACAGTAAGTATTTGGACAGATACACATTCTTTGTTCTTCATGCTGAGCGCCTCAGCACATTCAGTTTGAAATTAATAAATGGATGCTACAGTACCAAGACAAAGGTTTAATTTGACTAGTTTTACATCAATATTGAGGAAACTTACTTCCATGTTATGCTACTTTATACTTCTCCAATACATTTCAGAGGGAAATGCACCACTAGATTTATCTGAAAGCTTTAGTTGCCAGTTACCTTTCCAATTGAGATTGTACAAAACACACAAGCTTATAAAAACACAACACAAAAGCCTGGGTTCTTCTCTCAGGTTTCAGATATCAACTGTTAGCACTTTCACAAAAGGGTGATTTCCCCTCCGAACTTCTTTGATGGCTTTATCTATGCAACGGTTAAAGACCCAAAGAGGTCAAATTATCCAATATCACAAAAGGCAAAGAAAAACTTATATACATATATATATATATATATATATATATATATATTATATACATATTATAAGTACATTATATACATATTATATAATATATATATATATATATATATGTGTGTATATATATGTTTGTGTAGAAGTAATTTGTGTTTTTTTCTTTCTTCTCCCTTTAATCATCTCAACAGCCCAATTTCATCTTGTGACTCCTCTGCAGACAGTTGGTCAAACAGGCTCCAGGGTTATGAAGCACGCAGCAGAGGAATTAACAGGCAGTAATTTTTTTATTTAGTCATGGAGGTGAATAATAGGAAACCTGAACAAATTGTTTTCATGTAGCAGAGTGAAATGCCAGAAGCCACACAGTGTGAGAAGCGATGTGATGCTGTAACAGGGCTTTCATGTGGAACAGTACTGTCTACTGTTACATAAACAGCTTTACAAAAAGTGAACAGTCCTCCACATTCTTTCTATAAAAAGACTCATCATTTCACCCCTCTCGTAATCTGGCTTTATTCTCGCCATTCCAGCAGTTTGGCCTTTGAGGAAAACAGGGTGATGAAATTCAGTGAGGGGGAAAGAACGTGAGGGTTTTTCCTCAAGTATGGAAACAAGAAACAAACCAGGGTTTGACTTGAACCACTGTGGGAGTCAGGGGCAGGTTTAGTAAGTTTTGAATCGAGGGGATGGGACTGAGGCACAGTGCCATTTACATTTGTAAAATGAGTAACAATGGTCCACTTCTCTGGTAATAATCAACTTGCTTTGAAAAATGTGTATTCAGTCTTACAAATTAATGTCAAACAAACAACTTTAAATATTCTAATATAAAATAATATTAGTTAATAGCTGGCATTTGTAAATCCACGTAGTCTTTGTGTCATTTTGTGGTTGTTTTTTTTTTTAGGTGCTTTAGTTGCTTCAAGTCTGGCCCTCTATCTGTGGCCGTGGTGGGAATGTACATTACATTTACTGTGCTCTTCAGCTGTCAGTTTTTGTGAAAGAATTTATTATTATTATTATTGTTTATTATTTTTAAAAATTTATCAGACTACAGTCTAATGACTTTGTTATTGCGCATGCATATGAAGCGGAGACTGACTGAGGACCTGCTTCTTATGTTGGGTGACGTCCAGTTCCCACAGACATGTGGGCTCCATTTAGTTCCACATTAGCACAGGCATTAGGGACAACTGCATCAATAATTATAAACCAATATTATAACATAACCTATGCTGAAATGGGCTATTTGCATAATTAGTACTTTTATTTTTGGCACTTTATACTATATTTTGATACTAATATTAAGTATTCTTACTTAAATAAAAACTTGGATGCAGGACTGTTTTTGTAAGAGCATTTCTACACTTTGGTATTGCTACTTTTACATGAAAAGTACTTCTTACAGCATTGCAGGAAAAACAAGCACTCAACAGGTTGGAAACAAAACCCCAGGATAGCCAAACATATTTGGAAGAGGAAACAGGCCAACAGATACATTATTACCCAAGCTGTCTGCTGTAAACATCCATCACAGTTCACAGACTTTCTGCTTCAACTAGGCTATATAACCTTTTGTACAATTGTCGATTCTAACTGTTTTACATTCAGACATTACTGTTTTAACCTTGCTGTGACGATGCATTATCTTCCAAATGCAAAGTAATGTGAGACAGAAGACATGAGATCATGGCATCATTTCCTGAATCATAAAACATTTTATTTATTACACAAAAAGAAAATGTACACACCAAATAATGCACAGTGCAGTCTGTGAACGTTAAAAACAAAAGTAGCTTTTGACACAACAAGCACAAAGAAGAGAAAAGGTTAATAAACGGTGTTTCCCACGCCTCCATCATGTAAATTAACTTGTGAAGCAACAGTAACACAGGAAAAGTCGAAATCACATGATCAGCTTGACTAGAACTGTAGAGGTGAATCATTTCAAACATCAGTTTTACTTTACTGGATTTCTGTTTGACCTGACATGTCTGGTGAGAACAACTTCCTTCCTCTTTCAATCCAGCCAATAAAGCCATGCACTTTCAGGCACATGTACAGCAAGCTTATATGCCAAGATATTTACAATGTAAACTAATGACTGTAGAAGCGTACAATATATATATATATATATATATAATATAATTTCTTTGATCTAAAATATTAAGGGGCCTTCAAAATAAGATATGGCTCAATGAAAAGGACAGGGTCCACTTCAGAGTAAAACAACAGTCTTACAAAGTGCAAAAAAGTCTGTTAAGCATGTCGTTCTTCTGTTCTCTACTTCATCAGCTGTAACATAGCATGTCAATGTGACATTTTCTCCCTATTATGGGCACCATTTTTCATCAGTGTTTGCCATGTGTACTGGGAGTACTGAGGTCAAACAGAACATATAAGCAGAACCAGGTACAGACCACAGCAGACATTTGATGCGTCACAGCAACAAAACAGGTGTTACTAATAACTTTAATTTAAGATGAACACTATTTACCTGCTTCAGTTTCAGGGTCCTGGTATTGTTCATGCTGGTTAAATGTCATGGCTTACTTATATATGAGAGAGCCATTGTTCACTCTGTTAGTAACAGCTGTACTTTTCCTACTGTGACAGATCTAAATGTCTGCTGTGAAAAAGTCCCATTGCAGGTATTTTTGCATTTGACATCTGATGGAAAAAAAACTGACTTTGGCCAATGGTGCAGTCTAGCTCAAAGTTTCCACCTGTAGAAAGCAGTGCTGTTTGATTTAGTGTTAATCTCCAGTCCGGAGAGACTACCTCCATGTCAACACAGTAGGATCTGAGGGAGAAGTAGATGTGGATCTTGCTAAGTTTGGACAGAGCCAAGCTAGCTGCTTACCCTCGTTTCCAGCCTTTGTGTTAAGCTAGGCTCTCCCGCTGCTAGCTGTAGCTTTATATTTAGTGTACCGATGATAGTGATATCTCTTCGCCAGAAAGTAAATAAGTATATTTCCCAAAATGCCAAACTATTTTTACAACTTAACATTAATAATAATAGTAATAATAAGAATGAATAATTGTAGCTCCAGTCAGGGATGTCCAAGCAGATGTCGAAGCAAAAAGACCTACATGGACATTGTTATGGTGTCAGATCGGCATCATGCTTCAAACTTTTAGCCAGCAGCCGTTTTATAATCCATGTGACGTGATCAATCAGCCTTTTTCAAATGTCAAATGAAGACAGAAATTGCAGTTGCCGCTGCAACTGTTATTAAGGGTGAAGGCATTTACATAAATATGCAGGAAAGCTACTTGAGGAAAGGAAGCAGTGAATTTATGCAGTTGACAAGCTGCAGTGTCACTAAGACAGAGTGTTCGAGGAATGAATTAAGTCTTTTAAGTACCTTTACTGGGAGGTGCATGGCTGAAGGAAGTTGAGAAGGTGTCGAGGCTGAAGCCCAAAACAGACCGAACTATACAACAGAATGCGGTTATAAAACACTAAGCTCTTATGGACAGGCTATAGATTATGTACAGTTTATCCTTAGACTTGCAAATATGTTGGAGACTTAGTCCAATTTACAAAAGCATTTGTACACTGAAGGTAACAGACTTGTGTTTAAAGTTAATTTAAGTGACTAAATGCCCTGTAGTCCAGGTAAAATGTGAAATGAAAAACAGTTTTCATGCCCTTGACATTTTTAGAGATTCAGTCATCGCACAAATGGCTGTGGTAGTCATAGTCAAGTACAACCCTAAATGATGACCAGTAAATGCAGCAGGGTGAAACATCAAACTTCTGAGGTCAACATTGAGTAGTCAAGTCACTGAGTGTAGACAGAAATAGTATCAAAGTCCAATTTTAAGAGAGGTCGCAAAATCGCAATGTTGGTTCTCTCTCTTAAAAAAGACAATGAATTGATATTATCCTGTCATCTAAAAAGTTAATTAACTGGCCTGTCATTATCATTATTTCTGTCGTGGTCCAATTCTGGAAATATTCAGGACACCAAAAGAAATGATTCTATTTCTGGACAAACAGGTGATCAAACAGCCAGGTTGTTAAATTGTCTTCATTTTGAGTTCATGCAAAACAAGCAGCTTCTACTCTACAGATCTGTGTAACTAGCATGTGTGTTGTCTCCGGCCGTTATTGCATCGCTGTGTGGCCACTGAGAATAAAGCAGCGGGTTGCCAGGTCTGACAGACTGAGAGGGAATCACCTGTCAGCAGGCAGACTCATGTCATCAGACAGAAGCTGCTCTCCTGGAAGAAGGAAGAGGAGAAATAACTTGCATGTTCCTTATTACTTTTTATCTATGCTCAATCGTAAACAAGAGTGTGCATACAGCTGAGGTCAGGTTTAGTAACATCTCTGACACAATAAAAGCATACGTACGAGACGCGTCAACACCTGTCAGTTTGTGCTCAATGTCCCTAATTTTGACACTGACTTTGTCAAAAACTTGAAAGTGCCCGTTGGTGGATGTGTCTCACAGTGCGGTCTTTTTGAGAGTTCATCATTGTTATCATGGACATTGTGTGTGTAGGTTACCTGTGCAGGGAGGAGTCTGGTTGTCGTAGCGAGAGTTGTTGCTCTGCAGGGCCTCGTCCTCAGTGTCGCTGTCACTGCTTGTTGCTGCCACCAGGACTGAGGGCGACTGATCTACAGACAGGACAAGACAGGATGAGACCACTGGTCCTGTCCTTTCTTTCACTGAACATTTAGCAATTTTTAGTTTAAGGACAAAAAAGAAATAAAATACAGAATTATACCTAAAATTACTTTTGTTTATCTCAGTATTGTTCAGCGCAATGACATCAGGTCACAAAAAGCACAGAGAACAAATAAAACTCATCAATACATAAATAATAAGATTAAATCTCATATTCTCGATTTCCCAAAACAAAAACTACTTTGACTTTAATCCACTGACACATCTGCAGACAACAATGAAGAGACTTACAGACACAAAGAGCAGAGTAACACCACACAAAATGTCATCACATGGCTGATTTTCAATAGTAACAATTTACAGGTTTGTTAACCTGCAGCATATCAATAAAAAAAATAATAAAATGACCATGAGTGATGCAGTGGGGTAGGTGCTGCTCGATAAACAAAAGCAAGACCCAAGTTGTAACAAACCGAAATATTATTTTAAAATCGTCACGTGACAGCTGTAACAGATCAGAATCTAAAGAGAGCAGATATTTCAGACAGAAATACTCTTCAGGCGTGTAAATGTGCATCTTACTCCACAGAGAGCTAAACAGGTGAATTTCTCTTGAACTTAAAATGCTGTAGAAGTGTGTCTGAGGTTTAAAATGTAGTCTACAGTTCACTATAACACAGTATCACTCTCATCAGTGGGAGAGTAGAAAAAAAACATTTTTATAACTAAAAGGCTGTTACTCTAAAAATTAATTTTAGGAATACAACCAGCTGAATATTCCTGCACATGCTGAACTTCCAAAGAAAGAAATTATGAAACACATTCATTCCTGAGGGTGGCAGAGAGTGAACCGACCTTCATTTGACTGTGACTGCAAAGCGGGTCCCTCCAGCAAGGACTGATGGGAGTTCCCTGAGCTTTCAGATTCACAGTCCAACATGGCTGCCCTGTGGCAGGAAGAAATGGAAGAGTTGTAAGACAAGAGTAGTTCTCTGTAGTTTGAATAACAAAGCTGTCTGCTACATTTTTCCTGTGTATGAGTCTCTGAGACGCACCCTAGGGTCCTACTGCCACAGTTCTTGCTGGCAGTCATGTAGGTTGGTCCCCCCAAGGAGAAGATGTCATCCTTTGGCCCTGAGGTCCCATACAGCTGCTGCTCCACCGAGTACTGCTGCTTGGAGGTGGAGGCCTGCTCTGATGAGGAACTGCCAAGAGACACTAGGGGGCCCTGGGTGCCCTCAGACTTCAGCACTCCTGGAGAAGAGATAGGAGCAAATACAAAAAGACATGGGTCTTACTTTATTTTTTGTTGTTCTTTAGTTCAATCCAAGCAAATTAAATATGTTATTTTCAAAGTTTAATTTAAAAAAAACATTTTGTACAGCTAAATAATAATTTTGGTATTTAAACAATTAGACTTTATTAGAATGAGACTTTTATTTGACATCATTTTTTTTCTTAGAGTGAGGCAAATGTGCATTGGGAAGGGTCAAATGTAAAACCTTGAACATTGTAAAATGATGGAATACACTGTAAAAGTTTTTTGGAAGGAGACGGACATAGTGCTAAAACAACCTACAGTTAATCACAGACCGGCCATTAGAGCTGCAGGAACTATTTTAAGTCACGGTGGAACGGTACAGAGGAGAGTGAGAGCAATGTGAAGTAGATGTTATTTGGTATATTTTAAACTCCACTACAAAGATACTTCAAAATACATCAAGTACATCCCTGATCCAGGTAAGTACACTCATTGATTTTGTTATATTGCAATCAGTAGGAGGATGCTACTGAATGCTAACAAAACAAGGAACTGTACCTTAAAGCTGCTCTAGTCAATATTTTCATTTTCACAACAATGGATCAGCTGAACACACAGAGATCCATCCAAAGATAGTTATCATCTGTTCAGCAGTACTCATCAGCTCTACAGAGCATTTATTGTGTGTTAAAGCTCATTGCTTTATTTTGTGCTGTGCAATTTTATTATTTTGGTTCACTGTCACCACTCTCATTTGTGTTGTTTCCAGCTACAGCTTCCCTCATTTGGAGTTGTGTTATTACTGGACAAATACCAACAATAACAACTCCAAAGGCAACTGCTAACAAGCTTGCCAAATAAAATTCTGAGGTGATAAAGTCTATGTTGTATTTACAGCTTGTTTCTATTGACCCCAAGTGGCCAAACAAACCCAATACATGCAAGTTTAAATAGTAACCCAAGTTCATAAACTACTGACCCTCTGCACCTCCCAGCCCGTCTTTGGGATGCAGGCTAAGCTCTGAGGCTGCCTCTGCCCCTCTCAGGTCCTTCTCCATCTCCTCTGGACTCCTCCTCTTCACAACCAGAGAACCACTGCTGTCCAGGACAGGGGAGAGAGATTTCCTGGCTGCACACAGAAAAAAAAAATATATACACAAATATGTAATTATCTCAGCTTTTTCTGACCCAATAACTGGGGATTCACATGTTACCATCATCCATAGTTAACTTAAAACAAAATATATGGACTCCTGCTTGCGTGAGACCTGTGATCCTTGTCATTTGCAGTCTAGTCTAAATATTACCTAAGTATCTCAGGGTTATATACAATCAAAAGTATGTCAAGATAACTCTGTGATCAAGCCAAAAAAGTCATCTGCATTGTTTTAAACCAAAGTATGGAAAAAATGAGCTGCTGTCCGCCACCCTTGGCTCATTTTTGCGCTGGTGAAGTGGCATTGCTTACAGGAACAGAAATTAATTAAATGATAACAACTTTTAAATGTCATTTAACCAACCCAATGAAAAAGAGAAAGAGAGTCATACATGGGTCTGATGTCTGAAAGTGGTATGAGTCAAACTGGAACACGAACACAGCCGCTTGCATTTTTTTTGGTGTGTCTCCACAGTTTCACAGTGATAAACAAGCAGCAATGGTCGTGGTGTGTATTCTCCAGTGGTGCAATGTTCAGCTCTGACTGCTGCAGTAGCATCTGTGACAGACTACTGGCGTACTTCTGTTGTATATGTTCCCTGTTATTTTGAGAGCCTCTGGACAGAACAGACTGACAGTCCCAATAACTAATATTATATTAATTCACTATTCAAAAGTTAAAATGTGGATAAAATTAACATATAAATACATTAGTGATGACGGGGCGATATCATTGGAATGTTACAAATTATAAGGAAGAAAGTATGTTAAGCTCCTGTAAAGTCAATAAATCTACCACATAGTGGGCCTGAAATAGGTCCTCTGGAGGCTTTTTATGTTTCAGTGCTTGTTGATACTGTTTTCGTTTTTAGTCCATGCTACATCTCTTATTATAGGTTAGATAAGCCATTTAATGAAATGAAATACTAGACTGCATAGTAGTCACATCTCATTATTTAAAGATGGCGGTGTTTCTCCTCAGACTTCTGTCAGCAGCTGGGGGTAAATATTCTTTTCTCTGGAAGCTGATGGATCTCAGTGGTAAACTGAAATTTTACAGATAATGTTCTGTCAGCTTGGTCTGTACCGTTGCTACTTTTTCCACCAGCACATACTGCTGTGAAACTAGAAGCGGTTTTTGCATAGCTTGATATTTTTGGGGTTATTTTTAAGTCAAAACAAATACCCATTCAGTTCACATCTTCAAAAACTCTTTCTTTTGAGGGAAACTTTTTCTGTGTTTGTGTACAGTTCATGAAAAAAACTGCAACACTATAGTACTACAGTGGCAGTAGTGGCTTAACATCATTAGCATTAGTAGTGTGGCAGTCCTCACCAGGGCGGCAGGGCCTGGACCGAGCTACAGCTGCTCTCCCCAGGAGGTCCAGCTCACTCGGCTTACGACACGCTGGCAACTCTGAATCAGCATGGTGAGAGGGTACATCCTCCACGCTGAAGGCCCCTGATGGGCCAGGCCTGGGCTCTGTGGTCCCCCGAGCCTCCAGCACTTGACTCTTGACATCAGACATCTTGCTACGGACTTCTGCCATCTGAGCCTTGAGGCGGATCAGGACCCCTGAGTCTGGAGCTGATCGTCGCACCACCTGAGGCCGCCGCTCTCGTTCTTTCCTGGAGTGAGGATGAGCTGGAAGAGACAGGAATAGGAATGGGATGTCTGTGTTTTGCTCAGTGACAAATGGCGTAAAATTGTCTCAAAGTATCTCACGTCATAAAATCAAGAATCAATCCTGTTTGCTGATGACAGCATATACTTTATATACAGCATATATACAATATAAACTATACTGGCGAAGAAGCAGTGCACAGGGTAGAGCTTGTCTCACTGTAAGCTGCCTGCGTTACGTTATCTTCACAGGGGAGATCTACCAGTTATGCTAAAAATATCCCATGAAGTTTTCCGTTTACATTCTGTGTAATCAACGCACACTATGTATGCTTATGGCCTAAGAAATATATTGAATGCATTTCTGTCCTCATAAAACACTTACATTTTTGAAAATCTGCATTGTTAACATCCATGTTTGCTTGCTAGCGCTCTTCTTCTTCTTCAGTGCTCTTTGCACTGACATTGGTGCACTCGTTGCTGCGTTACTACCACCTGGTGATCAGTGTAATAGTGTGAGGCCTTTGGCAGGAATGTGTATTGCATCACCCGCAGGTGTGTGCATGAGACACAAATAACATTGTGACCCACTTATAAAAACACTGCTCCATAGTGCTACTAGTGGTGAACAACTCCACAGGGTACCTTTAATATTGTTTTCTACTGTTTAGTTTATTTAGGGAAGTGAGTTGTTGCAATTTGGTTTCTTTTATTTTGCTAATTTGTTACCACCCTTGTTAGATTTGTGGTGTTTGATTTGTTTAGCCATTCTGAAGTTAAAGCGCCATCATTGCAACACTCTAAATAACACAAGTCTTCATAGTCAAACAATTTGTCTTTGTGGCTGCTTAAGATTTGGGCAGGATGATATGATTTCAAGTTGTTCATTAGGCACCTCTACAAATGGCATGAAACACTTCCTACACTATATCAAGTATATGGTGTCTCTAATATCTGGGCTGGTCACAATCACTGGAGAGAAATTAAATGAAAATTGTATTAGTGTTCTCTCAAATGTGTGGTGTAGAGTGAAAAAAGCCAAAGTCAATGTGTCCCTTTTAAAGGTAAGCCTTATATAGTTGCTGTAGAGTCTCCGGAGGGATTTCTTTGTGTGGGATTTTAGGTATTGATTCTCAGTTTAGCTGGAATGATTTGTTGTTAGTGAGCTGAGAGCTGTGTTTACAGACCTTGGCTGTGCAGGAGAGACACAGGAGGCCGTGGCTGAAGCCCCCACAGAGACTCCACGCTGCTGCGCTCCTTCAGGTCCAGCAACTGGATCAGGATGACCGGGTCAATCTCCAGGAGGCTGTTGCTGCCTGGCCCAACAGCACCACAAGCAGCAGCTCCGCTACTACTCGCACTACGACCAGCGGCAGCATTGCGAAGTAATGAACGTCCACTGGAGCTGGAACCACCTGCAGATAAGGCAGAGGACAAGAGTTTATTGATAATTAAGTCTCCATGTTCTTTCTTTGAAAGAATTTAACGCTTGGTCATTTTTTAGGGGTTAAAACTACTAACAAGGAATTGAAAATGTAAGAGAATATTTAAGCTCAACAGAAATGATATAATTTATATTGTGACACATTTTTTTCCATATCATTTAGTTCAATAGCATCCGCTTGCAAACAGGATGTTTCGGTTTTTCATGTAAGAGATTCTGTTACTTCTGTAAAAATCCTGCATCAAAAAATAAGATCTGGGCTAGCTTTGCAAGGCTAAATTAGCATCAAAGGAATTAATTATTATTAAGAATAAAAAAAAATAATTACAATAACACTGGAAGAACTAAAAATATGCAGTAGCATTTTGTTGAGCTTGACTCTCCTTGTTAACAGAGTGAACACACACAACCCCCTCTCACATGTACACATGCAGACACCAAGTGTTTCTATATCAGCACGCTGCAAGGGGTCCAGTGCACCAACAATGACTCATCCTCTTCATGCCTTTCAACACCAACACAGTCAAACACACTGAAGGAGCTGCTTTGAGGCACACCATCGTATCACTATGTTCTGGTTATGCAGTTGTTAGACAACACAAAAAGATTTGATTCTGTGATTTCTCAAATAGTGGCAGAAGCATTTATTTGCATCAAATGAAGAACAAGGCTTTCATCTGCAGCAGAACATTCAATATTTACAAAGGTGAGGATTTCTAACTTTTCCTTCCCTTAATTTCTTTGGTTGGCCAAAATAAACAATTTGGAGGTGTCACCTTAGGCTCTGGGAAACTGTGATGGCCTTAGTATTGAAAATAATCACTAGTTGCAGCCCTACTGCTGTTCACTGTTAATACAAACTTAAACTAAAACACTTTGAGCAGTTCAGGGGCATAATCCCTTCAACTCCCACTGAAAGTTTTTGAAACATCTACCAGAGATGTTAAGTTTTTGTATACAACAGCTTAGTACAGATGAATAAATGAAAAGCATTACTGGTGTAGTTCTACTGCTCACTGCTGTACTAGTGATTCACTGGATGTTTTGGGCTAAAATTGAAGTGGACAGATTGGTTTGTCTTGAACTTTGGAATGCATTAAAAAATAATTTTGCTCTCAGGTGACACTTTTCAAGTTTCATGAGCCAAAATATGGATGTCTCTTCACAAATGGCAACATGGTGACAGCAAAAAACGTGTCACTTATCACTTTATATTATCCAAAATGGGACAAGAACAGTGGACAAACAGAGTTCTGTTAATATTACACTAGGTGTCTGCAAGGGTGGATAGGTTTTTGCAGTGACAATATGGTTATAAATTTAGGCTGCATGCCATGTTGAGAGAGATTGTGCAGACCCTTGAGGACATGAGCAGGTTATAAAATTTATTTTACACAGGCCCTTGAGGTTATGCAGACGTAGAAAATATAATTTGTCCACCAAGTTTCATTGAATTCTGTTGACAAGTGAGGTGGTAATAAACAGAAAGACAGATCTCCTCTGCAGAGGATGAAATCTATTCCTACACAAGAGGGGTAAAACTCTCAACTGTGGGATTTACATAATGTGTATACTATAATAAATCATGAAAAATAACTTAATATCGTTGTATGATTTATACCTGTGGCTCCGGCCAAGTCATCGGGAAGCTCTCCTTCCTCCGTCTCCAGGTTCCCAATGAAGTCTACATCATTTTCTCCTGACCTGTGCAAACATACACAAACACAAAAAGTATTCAGTAATTATGCAACTGTTAAATTTTATGATTTTATGATTAACATTTGATTAACATTTCATTACAGATGGGTAAGCAGGTATGAAATTTCCTTGTGTTACTATCCCTCTGCCTCAGCTTAGTAAAGAAACTCAAGGCTTTATCACTCCTTTACATTTTCAAAGAGCAACAGCAAAATGCAAAAATTATTTGGGTTTCTGGAACATCAACAAAACTTTACAACAAGAGAAAGTGAGAAATTCTACTCACATAGTCTCCTCATCTATGTCGTTCTCCTCTGTGTTGCTGGTGGCTGTGGAGCTCCCTGAGGTGCTGCTACCATCCAGTGGGTTCACCTCCTCCTCTGTCAGACAATCCACCTCCAAGTCACCGTCCGACAGCTCCTGACAACACAGCAACGCTACAATCATATCAAGCTCATGGCTTTGTGGTACAGAGATATCCCCATTTCTTTAATAGTAACTTCCTTTCAACTTCCTTTCTACTTTTCAACTCACAGAGCCTAGTGCAGCTGTGTTTTTTCCTTCCAAAGTCCAAAAATGATGGACGTTCAAATGTCCCAACAATTAACTAAAGCTATTTTGCAGGATATATATTTCCAAAGAACAATATGGGATCAGACTGTATCAGCTGTATGTGAAGGACTTGACTGAGACATCCCTAAGTTTTGGTAAATGAACAAAATGTACTATGAAACCATTTCATTGCCCCTACAGAGGAATAGATCACTCCCTCTTATATGATCCCCACAACTTCACCTGATCACGAAGACTCAGTCAAATAAGTCAACAGAAGGATGCACTAAGCTGCAACCTTAGTCTGGTGGAGTACTGTATATCCCATCCTTACATTAGAGTCATCCTGCTGGGTCCTCTCCTCCTCTTCGCCTTTCTTAGTGTTGGTCAAAGTGGCCTGGATGTCATCGTCACTCTTCACTGAGCGAGGGTCTCTTTCAGAGGCTGTGGTGCCTCCACCGAGCCTCAGGTCAGGGGGCGAGGAGCTGCGTGATGTTTGACGGCGAAAAAGCTCGATGGCCAGCCTCTGAAATCAGAAATATGAATCAGTCAGGACGACTGATAGATCTGTCACAGATAGACATTCGCTTATTTAGAGTAGTTAGAAAGCAGTTACAGTTTCATGTAAAAGTTTGGCCAACCCTGGGCAAATTACATATTTTGTTGATTTTTTGAAGTGAAAGACAGTAAATACTGTACATTTTCTGGTTCATATGTGAGGATTTGCTGCTTTTCTTACATTATAGTAAATTTTATATCTCTGGGTTTTAGACTTAGACAAAACAAGACATGTGAAGATGTCACCTTGGACTCTGGGAAACTGGGATAGATCAAACAATAATACATAAATCAACAAAACAATTGACAAAAAAGTCATTTACTGCACGTGTGTGATGTGATATCCTCTTCCAGTGGACATATTTTATGGAAAAACATACACACAACTTTTTTATCTTAAAATACACAGACACATGATTATAGGTAGAGGGGTTGCCTTAAAAACATGTTTTGTGTTTCTTAAGCCTTTACCTTTAACCCCTTAACATCCAGTTATCCTCTTTTAGCTTTTTAAGGTTGTTAAAATTCATCTCATTCCATTGTGTCTGACAGAATCATTTCCATTCTGTATCATCTTCGCCCTGCTTTTCAATAAAGCTGTTTAATGTTCACACTGAATGAAATATTCAAGCTCCACATTTTTTAACGGCCCCATCACATCAAATGGAATTAACCGAGATGTCTGTGCATTTAAGATGGCACCGGACACATTTGGTATCTTTGGAATCTCCACTAGAATCTAAAGTACTGGTCTGCGTGTTTGAACGATGTATGCACCAGCAGGTCGGTGAGGGTAAAGGGTTTGAGACGTGATCCCCTAACTTCACAAAGCTGCTGTCACTTGGAAATCTAAAAACTCGACTGAATTCTAACAAGGATCTCACTCACTCACTCACTCACTCACACGGACGGACGGACGGACGGACAGACAGACAGACAGACAGACAGACAGACAGACAGACAGACAGACAGACAGACAGACAGACAGACAGACAGACAGACAGACAGACAGACAGTACCTCTTTGAGGTTGTTGATCTGCTGTATGTAGCCGCTCTGGGCCGACTCCAGCTGGCTGATGTACCAGTACTGATCTCTGCACTTCTGGAAGAAGGTGGGTGAGCGAACCTGGTAGCTGTACAGCACACATATATCAAAACCAATGACACAGTGTTACTCTATTACAACAGACCTGCTTTTCTGTTTTTCTTTTTTCTATAGCGGTGCAGATGAGCATGCGCTACAGGATAATGATGGTGTGTCTGTGTGTGTGTGTGTGAGCCCACCAGAGGACTAGTGTGTCGGTCTGCATGTTCAGGTAGCCCTCGCTGGCCAGAAGGTCCAGTCGGAAGAAGCGGTTGTAGCCCCAGCATTCACCAACCTCAAAATCTGAGGCGAACTCCCGAATGATGTTCTTGGTTGGGTCACTGGAGGCCTGATGGACCATCTCCACACGGTACTCATACCTGCAAAGAACCAAGATAACATCACTACACAGGAAAATACACAATGAGAGGTGTGAGGAGAAGGAATCCAGGAGTTTCAGATGTTGTTTTACTTAAACAACTGATTGACAATGATGACTGATCGGATATTTCACTTCACAAAGATGTGGTTTGTTTTTAAACATAAAGGTCTGAGCTTGTGTAATATTTCAACAACATACACACTCGTATACAACTGTAAGTGTCAAGGGATGTATACTGTGTATGTATACTTATTCATTTAAGCCTTAAAATATTTCCACTGGAATGCTGCCATCCAATAATGAGTACTGCATCCTTTATAAAATAATTATTCATGTTTTTTCCTGTGTGCTTATTGTGAATATTATCACTATTTTTATGCCCACAAATAAAACCTTTTAAATAAGATAAGTTAGCCACAGGCTTAACAATTAGGAAAAAGGAGAAATATATAAAGATTTTGGTTGAGAAATGTGGGGTTTGACGGTAAGAAAGAAAAGCAAGGACAGATTTACCTAAAGAGAAGTTTGCAGAGAAAGAAAGGAGATTTATGATGAAAAAAAAAAATATATATATATATATATATCATACTTTGATGTTTCAGGGAGTCCAGCAGAAAGTTCCAAGAATACAGACAGGTAGTTTCCACGGACCACACCATTTCCATCCTGAGGAAACACATTACAAGAGTTACTAACAGAGACACACGCACTGCTTTTAGGGCCTATGCAAAAGTGCACCATGAAAAGCAAGCATGTGCAGCAAAAAAAACATAATGGTGGTGGAGAGCAGCTAATGATGGCTCACAGTATAAGTCCTGTTTCCACAGTACACATGACAGGAAAAGGAAAGCAGAATAAATAATTAATGAGCATCTGACTGAATGTAATTATTCTTGTAGGCTATTATTAGTTTATTTGGTGCATAAGTTCACTCCTCAACAAGCAAACCAGCAGTGTTTATGCAATGGAGAGCAAATACAGTGGTTGTGCACTTCCAACATACTTCATAAATTATTCTCTGTTAAAGTGAAATAGAGGGAGTTTTTAAATTTATGCAAAAATTTTAAAATTAAAAATTGTCATCAAATAAAAATTGGGGGGGAATGGATCCTCTTTTTGTGGTTTTCTGTAAACCACACCTTTCGGACACAATTTTCCCCAACCCGAGTGGTCAGAGCAAAATGCTCAATGTCCTAAATTGTCCTAACAAATTATTATTACCAGTATTAGCAACACCACCATGGATTTAATTGATAAGTGACTGCAGTTGCAGTTTTACCCCAGGTGATGTGACAGACTATTTCTTAGCTCTGAGCAGTTGAGAGGAGACTCCAGGAAGTTACTGTGCCCAGTTTTGGCGGGTCTGGTAGGTTAATTTTGTTTTCGTTGTTGCACAGACACAACCTAGCTGTTTCCTCCTGTCTCCAGTCTTTATGCTAAGCTAACAGGCCACTGGCTATAGCCTTATATTTAATGAACAGATATAATAATAGTATTGATCTTCACATTTAAATCTCCACTAGAAACCGGAGACGTTTTATTCCTAAATGTCAAGTGAGATTGACATTTGAGAAATAGACCTTTCCATATTTCTTCATATAGGGAAGATATTGAAGAGAGGAAATGGTTCACTCACAGGGTAGACTTTAAGTCTCCAGCAGAGCCCAGATATCTGTAGAGGAGGGCTATACACTGGGTCAGCCCGCTGCCTCAGGGTGCTACAAACACACAAATATCAAACAGACTCATATCAAAACTTGTGGATAACTGGGCAGCTGTAACAACACTATGCGTCCTGTCTGGAGCTGTGTAAATACATTTACATTTTCCTCCTCGCTTTTTTTTTATGCATTACTTTTTGGGGCCCTGCTGGGGCCCTCCAACTTTTAACAACTTTCAAAGTGGAAAAAGCTTGAAACAGATTCAGTGGTGGGTGGAACTGCTTCAAGGTGCTCCTCATCTTCTTTGTCAACAACCATCAGACCCCACTGTCTCAGTCATTTGTGTTTTAGTAACAGCTGCTGCTGTCTGTGTAACTAGTAGAGGTAGTAATGAAAGATGCAGCTAATGCAGCAGAATTCCACAAAGCTGCCCAGCATTTAATAAGAATTTTATTTATCATATTTTGCATATCATAATTTCAAGTTACATCAAAAATCTGACCTACACTACATTAAACAAATTATTTTCCTACAGATTTTCACTTGATTTAAAACATCAGCCACTGAAAACAAGTGTACATACCCCTGAAGGTGGGGATATACTCGAAACCAACTATGAATGTCGCCCAACTATGTCTTAAGGTTAAAGAGTTTATAGCTGTTCCGAACGACTGCACACAAATAAAAAAGGTAGAAGTGCTGCACCCTCCCCGAAAAGCAAACTGTAGTCAAACGGCACTGAACAACTGTCTACTTCAAACACTGTCAGCTTTAGACCAAAGATTAATGACGAGACAAGACAAAACCTGCAACTACTTGCAATGTTTACACTGTTGCAACCAGGCGAGACGATGTGTCGTCTCTATAGCAACGACTCTGTACTTTTGTTCTAACTGCAGCTTCTCAGGCGTTTTTGTAGCTGGATACATAAACATAAAAATATGAGTAGTGATAGGCAGTTACTTGCTCTAGTTGCAGATGTATTGCAGCAGTATTGATGAAATGGCAAAAACATAAAAAAACAAGAGGGTCATGAATTTGGCGCAAACACCCACACATTGTGCAATGTGACAAAGGGCAGTTGGTTTTTATATCTTGTTTGAGTAAATTTTAAAAAAGGAACAGACACAGCTGTTCCTCAAACACATTCATGAGTTGATCTTTTCTTTCCTCCGTCCAAAACTCATGTCATTTCGGCTGTTTGTAACTGACTAGCTATGAGCTGATTGGCTGTTCAAACAGATGACGTGCTTTCTGTTTTAAAACCAGCCACTGGCGATATCACAAGCTGAGTTGCAGGTGACTTCGCCAGCCAGCTTGAGTTGAGGTGAGATGGGCCAGTTTCCACCACTGCAACTTTTCCCTGCAACAGTCTAAAACCGTTTTGTTTCGTCATGAATCTTTGCTCTCAACTCGCCTTAAAGATGTTGTTTAAAGATTGAAGGAGCTGTCTGAATCTATGACCACAACAGAAAACCCCATTTTTTAATTATTTACTAAGACACACACACACACACACACACACACACAGCTGACAACACAGTAAAATAGTACTGAGGCCATTTCTAATTTATATTATCTGCTGCAGCAGCTATGGCTAAATAAAACCCTACCTGAAGTTGACCAAAACAAAAGTGCTGGAGTCATAGGCAGGGACCAGCTCACTGAAAGCACAAAGAGGAAGGATGATTATACACAAGAAACAATGAATAAAGCTGTAATTCGCAGTCACTGTCAGGCTATTCTATTCTGTCTCATCATCCATTATGACAACAAACTGATGAATGAAAAACTAATTAAAAGATTAATCGTTAATGATAATATTTGTTTAAATGCAGCCATAGCCATGACATTTTGTTACACACCTGTTGGGCCATGAGACTTAACTTGACCTTTCCTGAGCAGATTACCTGGTGAAGTCTGGAGGGACCGGTGTGGTTACGAAGGACTGCATGGGTTTCCGATGGACCTGCTGGAACATGAGCAGGATCTCTGGGCTCTTGGAGATGAGTTCACTTTTACTGCAGGAGTGAAGCTGTTCAACAAACACAAACAGCAAAATCATAATGTTGTAGCCACCAACAGGCAGCTAAAACATCAGCAGTGGCACGTTGTTACAGCTGAGAGATAGGCTGGCACATAACCCCTTGTAATACGCAGAATTGTTTTTTCCACTTCAGCCTTAGAACAGATTAAACAGTTATAGAGAAGCTAGTAGGCAGATTTTGTCATGTTTGGACAGAGCCAGGCTAGCTGTTTCCCCTTGTTCCCAGTCTCTATCTACATATTGAAAGCTAAAACATGAGAGTGGTATCAATCTTCTGATCAGCAAATGAGGAAATATATCACACAACAAACAAAACAACAATATGCATTACAGCTAAATGAATGGAAGCTTTTAGGTGCTGCAGACTACCAACCTGATGCTCCACCTCCTGCAGGAGAGATTCCAGCAGCTCCGTCTCCTGGGTCAAGGACGTCTTCTGGCCTGGTGGGGAGGAACACATTTCTATTTTCAGTGTACTTGTGCTGAATGTCAGACCTGATGGAGGTTGGTGAGTGCGCGTGGGTGGGCATGTGTGCAGGTTGTGTATGTGGGCGCTGAGTGCATGCATCCACTCAGTCCAGATAAATATTTCATATGTACATTACCCATTGCTATAAAAGGCGTCTCTCACTGCTTTCAGCAGGGAGTGTGCATATTTTGTTAGGTTAAGGTCTCGACCTTCAGACAGTGGATATACAACATTGATGGTTTACTCTATCTGTTAAAGTGCTTTTTGTCTTTTAGGTTACATTCAGACATTACATGACATTAAGGGAATGAGCCAAATGTGTGCACAGTATTTGGCACCATTTTAAATTCATCACAGGTGCCACAATGTGATGAATAAATTCTCTTTTTAATTCCTTATTACTCACACGCTGCATTTTGCTACGCATTCATTTATTCACCCATGCAGGTGGCATGGATGAAAATCTAGGGAGGGACAGCTGGTCCAATTATTACTATGGTTGGACAAGGTGTTTTTTTTAATTACCTCTTCTGCTAGAGCTTCACCATCAGGAGAAAAAAGATTTTTAGCCTGATTTGATATCTGCCAAACAACTAAGCCTCATTCACATTTTTTTTTGCAAGTTAAAGTTAAGTTAAATCATGATTTAGTGAAGTAGCAGTAGTTAAGATCTAAAAAATTCATAAATATCAATGTCTCTAGCACAAAAATAATCAGTGAGAAAAACTACCCCCTTATTAAAACCATTACTGCATGCAAAGTCCCTGTGTGTAAACCCAGAATCAACACGGCTGCATTGTGGCAGTGGTGTGTCCTGGAGTCCTACCCATGAGGGTGATGAGTTTGTTCTTGAGCTGGTTGTCCAGACGAGCGATCATCATTTCCACTGCATTTCTGATCTCTCTGACCCTCTCATCCTTCGCTCCCCTGACAGCCTCTACGTTCCTCTCCTGACCCAGCGAACACACACACACACACACACACACACACACACACACACACACACACACACACACACATCTTATTTTAACAGATATAACAGATATCAGATCTTAACTGAAATATTAATATGTTATTGCCATCTAGTGGATATAAGCAATACAACAGACATACTTGCATACTTGAAAAAAAGTTACTTATCACTCACACATTTACATGTTTACAAAAATGTATTTCATGTCCTGCCTCATGATGCTCAACTAAATGAAGTGGTAGTTGAGTTACTTAAATAACAACCTCGGTGACCACCAGTTGTATGTAAAGCATTTTCCTGGCTATTCATGCTGTAAGTAGACGACAGTTATAACATGAGACTTCAGAGGGGACCTGACTGATGTTTGGATGATCACTGTGGTCTCTCAGAGTTTTTTCCTCTCTTACCCTGTACCAGAAACAAAACAGAGGTTGTTTCATGTTTTATTGAACTTATTTTCTCTACTTGTGACATGCTAATTTCTGTAATGTTTTATTTGTTTCATTGTTGTCTTTAGAAGGCAGAACAAGAAACGTATTTATTATCTCTCTCTGTCTCTCTACATTTAACCCTGTGCTGCTGATGCCTCCCTATCACTGTGGTTGCTTTCAATTCAGACTTTAGCGGTTGCAGTTACAGAAGTGTTTCAGAAACCTCTGATCCAGTAAAACTGCATGCCTTGTGACGCTCGGTATTAATATTACTTTATATCTTATGGCAACATGTAAAATTGCACATTCATTACTACTCTTTGCTACCTTTTTGTACAGAGCAAATTCAGTGGAAATCAGCCCAATAGATTATGAGATTTTGGGTCTCATGCAAGAACCACTCACATGAAAAGATTTGTTCTCAACTGGCACATACGAGTGATTGATGACAACTTATCACATTCAGCAATACGTGTCTCAATTATGCTCGTAATCATTTTATGGCCAGTTTGTGCATTTAAGAAAGTTTGGGGTGACTCTGACTTGAAACACAAACAAATCTCACAGAAGAAATTAAGCGAGTTGTAGCAACAACAACAGAAATTTTCTTGTATGAAGCCCGCTGCATGCACAGATGATAATTTTTCCAGAGGGTGGCGCTACAGGAAAGCTCACAGTGTCCAAAAGAGAAAGGTTTAAACCTCTGAGAAGGGTGAATGTATCCAAGAAATGTCATGGCCATTGGTTTTTAGATTTTGACATTTCTTAATAAAAGCAACAGGCAGTCCTCACCACTTCCTGCACTAGACTGATAAGCTCCATGAGCCGGCGGCGGAGTTTGGCAACCTCCTCCTTCACCTTGGTCACATGCTGCTCATAGATTTCCACCAGAGGCTTGAAAGTGTGGCCACCGTGCTGGACACAACAAAAACATCAGTTACTACATTTCAGTTTCAATGTGAAGATTTACTGCCTTCCTCCGTCTTACCTCACTGTAAGTTGAACATTTTGTGATTTTGTAACAAAACAAGTAATGTAGCATTACGAAGCTGTAATATATTTTCTGACATTTTAATCGATTACTTGAAAAAAAGTTTCAGTGGAAAAATGCAGCCCCACTTTTTTTTCCCAATGATTATTAGGTGTTTGTGGCTTTGCATGCAAAGTGCAATCTAAAAAAGAAAGAAGTGAAACGTTACCATGCCTCCCCACAGAGCACACTGATGACAGATGCATTTCTTACAGGTCCAACAGAAAACACTCAGCTTCTCATGGTGGTTCTCACATCTATGGAAATCCAACAACAGGATCATCAGAGGGAAAGAAAAAGATTTTTAGGAAACTTTTTTAAACTTTTCAACACTCATTATGATAATATAACTAGGTCACCCCAAAGAAATCTCACACCAAATAAAAGGAAGTGACAAAGCCACTCCTTGATGTCTTAATAGGTCATATAGACTTCCCTCTCAGACAGGACATCACCTGAATGTTTAAATACAACTTTCAGACAAAACAGAGTGAAAGAGCAGTAGGAGGTGCTCACTTGTCCTTGTCATTGTCCTCATGCTTGGTGAGGCTGCAGAGCTGCAGGGTGTCCAACTGCTGGGTGACCTCCTCTGCCCAGCGACAGTTGACCAGCTCCCTCAGCTGGAGCGGAGCCCTGTGTGTAGAAAAACACATTTTTATTCCTTACCTCATACCGAACACCTCACAACAGAAGAAATACTAAACAACAAATTACATTAATTTAAGTTTTCTAAACATTGTTTGTATCCTCTATTTTAATGCTGGTGGATGGATGTATGCGTGTGTGTGTGTGTGTGTGTGTGTGTGTGTGTGTGTGTGTGTGTGTGTGTGCTAGATAATAAATAATAGTGTGTAAGGCTGCAACTTACGATTATTTTTTCAATTAACCTAATATTTTTTTCGATTAATCCTCGAGTCTATAAGTAATAATGAAAAACAGTGAAAACAGTGAGAAAATGTCCATCAGAAGTTCTGTGCAGTTTGAACACTGACAGACAGTATGGAGGGTTGCAGAAGTGTGTTAGCTGCAGCTTACCGACAGTGTGGACACTGGGCTCTCTGCTCCGTCAACCATCGCTGTTAAACAAGAAATTTCAAATTACTAATAATTGTGTCTAAATACAATCAGTTCAAAAGTTCTGCTATTGTTAAATAAACATGATTCTGCAACTGGCAATACTCTTATTATGACTAAAACCCATGATGACCAAAACCAACAATGAATTGATCCAAACAATTATATGTGCAGCCAAAGACAGACATATCCTATTCCTCTGTGCCATAGAGATCAGTTGGTGTCCAAAAACTATTAAAAAACGCATTGTTGAGCTACACCAATGTACTGGGTGACACATTCCTTCATTATAATAATCACAGCTACTGTAGTTTATTTGACCCCATCCCATATACACTGTGCTGCTGCTGTAAATACTCAATAGAGCACCAAATTATATGAATATAAACTAATCCCTAACAGATGCACTATTTACCCTGTATGAGTGATATTTAAAAGAGGTGGGTCATTTGGGTAGGCAGTGAGGGCTCCGTTTCTTTCTTTTTTTTTAAACCCATCTCTAGTGAGTAAATCACTCCCTCATGTTGACTTGGGCCTGTTCAGGGTATCAAACTGTATATTCACCCTTCCTTAAAGCTCAAATATTAAGCTTATATCCGTTATACATAAAAAGAATGTGGGCTATCAAATTTTATGCATAATTAAACAACTATGTGTATTAATACCAGTATTTACTACTAATAGCAAAATACAGAGTGGTGCTGTGAGAAGAACATCTTCTACTCTCTGCCTGGTGTGAACAGACTTACTCGTATGCAGCTGAAGCAGCAGAGTTTGGAGCAGTGTGGGCAGAGGCGAGCATCCCTCAGTTTCTCCATGCAGATGAAGCAGCGAAACACCTCAGCGATGCTCTGCACAGGGAGAGAAGATGAGATGACAACTCACTAAAAGCTGCACAGATCACCGAAGTGTCAATAACACCCAACATCACTTAGACACAATGTCAGCAAAAAATTGTATGTTTTAAAAAGTTTAGCAGGTTTATTCCAAAGATGTTTTAATGGATTATAGTGAATTGTAGATTTGTACTTAATGAGTATAGAGTAAAAGAGATGTGTAATTAAATACTAAATAGTAAACTGATCTGCACTGAACTTGGTGGAGAGATGGGACATGGGCCATGGAAGAACCCATTAAATTTTGGGATCATTTCTTATGAATTCAAATTTTATTCTCTGAGGTCTGGTTTATATTGTTTAACAATGGCCTTGGCAGAGCACTGCGCTTTCTCAGTGCCCTTATAGTTTTGATCCATTTCTCTCTGTTGTACTCAGGTTTCTCGTGCAAAAGAGGTCTTGATATCAGTGGGTTTACTTGATTAGATTATGTTTATGATTAAAATAAGTAGACTTATGTACTGTATATTCCATTTTTCAAAGGCTTCTGTCACTGTGGTGGTTCTTAACCATCTGCATCTTTGATCATGATCATGATCTGTTTTCTGCTATTAACTACTCACAGTAGTTCAAGACTCTTGTGAGTCCCAAGGCTGAAGGCAGAAAATGCTTTTTAGTTTGATTTCAATATGAAGATGATATATTTCTGTATAGTTACTGTCAGTCACAGTCATTGTTAATTTGCCCTTTAACGTTAATGGTAGTACAAGCAGAGGGTTTCAGTCACTAGCTGTGCACTGAGCAGATCTGTTCAAAGTCCAACAATTTTACATAGATTTACATACATACATCAGCACAGGACAGTTGCAAGACACCACATAAATAACATTGAGATGTTATGATACGTTCCAGAGCTTGGATGTTCTCCCTCTCTTGCTAACTTTATAACTGGGTTTTGACTTCAAAGTATTTGATAATATTGTTGAAAATGTGTCGATTCTCAGATGCACTCATGCACACACACAATATTTTCCATAACTGGTTAAAGGTCTATCAGCCTCCAGCCATTGGCCTAATCAACGGATCCAACTGACTCACTGTTTCAACATCTGATACACTGTCCAGCTTTCAGACAAACACTCAGGCAGTGAACATTTAGGATCTCCAGCTGCATGGCCTGATGTGTGTGATACATACCTCAACACTTTGTTCATCCATGTCAGCCAGTTTGAAGCTGTTGATCTCAAGGACAAATCAAAAGAAGTCGTAGCCAGTGGTCTAAGAAGAAAAGTAACGTTAGAGACACTATAGTTTGGTTTGGTAATCCTTAACACGGGGTGGTATTTATGCTTTTAATGTTTTCTAAGCAATCACAACAATACTACTACAATTCAAAACCATTTAGGTCTCCACCAAAAACAGTTTCATTATTGGCTGACATGCTGATTATTTTGTCATGTATGTCAGAAAACAGTGAGAAATGTGCATTAAAATTTTCAGAAGCCCAAAAATTATGTTTGTTTTGTCTGACCCAACATCCAAAAGCTGGAAGCTTAGAAGGCTTTTGTTAAAATAGTTTCATTTTACTTTTCTGTCAATCAACTGATCAATCAATCAATTAATTGTTTCAGTTCTAAAACATTTCTCACTTTCAATTGCATTACTGTGTGTTGATCATTTGGGAATAGTGAAATACAGAAAGACACAAAAATCACAGTTTCACGTCTCGAAGTTCATATCATATAGAAGAAGATGAACTGAAATAAACTGAAACCATTGGTTGCCTGGATGGAATGAAAAAAAACAATAAACAAATCTGCAGCATATTTCACATCACAACTTTAATAATTCTTTTAAGTCACTTTTCATATAAATATGACAAACATTCATGGTTCCAGCTTCTAAATTGAGAGGATTGGTTGGTTTACTTTTTAACTATTATTTTAATACTTTTTTTAAATCTATTTTTAGTAATTTTGAGCTTCGAAATAATGAATGAACAAAATGAGCTTTGAGAAGGTGTCACTTTGACTTCTGAGTAGCTAATTGTGCATTAGTCATTATTTTCTGAATGATCACAAACGAAACAATCAATCAGTTATCGGAGGCACATACAAAGTTGTAGTTGCTTTTCTATTATGCATGAGTGACCATAATCTAATGATATAATACATAATAGCCACAGTCATAGGGTAAAGTTTTCAGTATTGAACACTTTTATTTAAAGCACATTTACCTGATAATACTTATATTTTTTACTTATTTTACTCGGGGCATTTGAAGAAGACACCATTTGCTGTTTAAAAAAAGACTACAATATCTGAATGGTCCTTCAAGAAAAGCACAGACCATTCTACATAAATGCTACATTAAAGCTACAAAACACAGTCTCCCCAGCCAAAAGGTGCTGTCATCACCGCTAGCTTGTGTAGTCAGTGCCAGCCAACACTGAGAGGCCCAGCATCAGCAGACACACTGACAGCTAACCTCACCGCGTGCAGTCATGACAAGAGCTTATATTTTGTGGTATATCTATTTATATAAAATTAGCGGACTCGGAAAAACAGAACATATTTATATAAAAAATATGAGGCTAGCTAGCTCGCTGGTATTAGCAGGATGGCTCACTCACCTTCCCAGACTCGGCTTCGTCTGTCACACCTGATAAGCAAACGACTTGAAAAACGGTGCTACATTATATATTACATCTACTAGCGCACAGCAGGGATCGTCTCCGCTGGTTTAGCGACATTCAGAGACTAAAATAAAGCTCGGTTCCGCTGTGTGAGGGCAGAAGTGACACTATGGTCCACAAGGGATGGAAAAACGCCTGGTGTTTTCGCCCTGAGTTGGAGATGTAGCGGTAGCGCCTGCTCTGAAGCCGTCTGTCCCCTAGCAATCACCAATCACACGGCTCCTCTTCTTCTTCTCCGTATGTTATTGTTTCGCGTTTGTCAGACAGATGAAGGAGCATTACCGCCACCGTGTGACCGGTCACGGGATCACAGAGGAAACCGGCATCTGAAAATGATTGAGTAGTCGATTGGCAGAAAATTTATTTGCAACAAGTTTAATGGGTGATTAACGATTAAAGTATTTTTGGAAGAAAAATACCAAAAAAAATCTATTGCTATTTTTCTCAGTTTTCTATGATAGTAAACTCAACATCTTTTTATTTTTAACTGTCCGATAAAACAAGAAAAAGGAATATGTTAACTTGGGTTTCAGGGGATAATCAATCAATTATGAAAGAAAATAATTGCCAAATGTATTGTTAATGAAAATAACTGCTGGTTTCAGCCTCACATTTCTATGGTGGAGTAACTAATCGCCCAAGGTTTTCTTTGTGTTAATGAGCCTATACTTGACACACAGAACTCAGCTCAACTTTATAGCCTATAGCACCTTACATATAAACATGCAGCTCAAAGTGCGTCACACAGCGAGACAAATCAATAAAAAAGAAAAAGAAAAACCAAGAAAAGAAAAAAGAAAGAAAGAAAGAAAGAAAAAGAAACTATAACAAAGGGGCTCAATAAAAAATAAAACAATTCAGGGCTGGAAACTAGTATTTCTCACAGGGTACTTCAGTGGTACCAAATTTCTAACATAGTTATGATTAAGCAAACTATAAAGACTTAAATGAAATGGAGTAAACCTGGAGCTTTTGAGGGTCTGGGGTCACAAGCTGCCACTTTACCTAGATGGCAATCTAACCTTAGTCCAGAGGACATAAATAAATGAATAAATTATCAAACTAAATGTTTATGGATGAAGGGGTGTGGGCTTGGCTGCTTTTTTTGGATAACTGTTACACAAAAATACGCATCAAAAGTTCAGTAGTTTAATGTAGTTTAATATCTTATTAATATCAGTACTGTGAATCACAACTGTTTGTAACAAGTTATGTATACTAAACTTGATTACTACACTACAAAATGTTGGCTTACTTTGTCAAAATTATGACAGTGTAAGTAAAAATGTTGACATTCAAGTGAATAAGAAAGTGGTCTCAGACTTTTGGAACCACAGTATATGTTAAAATTTCTATTTAATTTGATCAGTTTCACTTACTGTATCAAAATAATGACTTATGTTCTCAAAATGACCTTGCTCTCCCCATCACTAACACACATTGAGTTATATCAGGTGTAAAGAATAATACAAACATCTTCTTGTTATTCAAAGTACTCTGAAGAGGACTCTGTTCAGCCAACACACACAGTGCAGTACCCCATTGTTGTTTTATGCAAACAGTCTGAAGCTGGCTAGGACGCGCAGAGACATATGCAAATCAGTCAGTGTGGGGTGTACTGCAGAGGTGAATGTTTCTCCACTTAGGAAAATGCCGATGGGCAGCTGTGGATTTCCAAAACTTTTTATCCTAACACAAGCTTCTTTTTGAATAATCAGGGAGACGAACAGGAGCTGGAGCAGCACACACTGTTTACCTGAGGTGAGTCACTCCTCCAACACAGCCTTGTCAATGACTTTTTAATATTGTCACTATTTCATTTCACACAGAAGCTTCGTTTTAATAGGAGCGCATGTGTTGCATGATTTTTCCATACAGTGACGACTGTGGTAGTGCTTTATGGGAATATCTGCCTTGCTTATGAATATTACAACTAGGGATCACACAGGAGTGTGTACAGTTTGTGTGGTGGTGTGTGGAGGGGAGGGCGCATTAGAATAAACTCAAGATCATTTTCCTGGGTGGCCTGAGTGCTTCATTGTCCTGGTAAAGTTACAATCCAGTAGGAAAATCAGCTATATTTATCATTACAGATATTAAGATGAGCACAGACACCGTGGAACAGTCGGACGCTCCAGCTGAACAGGCAGGTAAGGACATTACACCTTCATTATGGTGCAAGTTAACACTGCTGAATCATCTGAACAAGCAGATAAGTTCAGTAGATGTGACTCAGGAAAAGTGTGCCTGTGTTTATTCTGCCGTGTTTATTCTGTCACTGCTGGTGATGCAGGAGTTTCATAGAAAGAGTTTGTTTGTTGTCTTTATATTTGAAAAGGGTGAAAGGTTCATTTTTAAATTTTTTATTAGATTTGTTTCTTTAGAGTCGTATTTTATCTGCTCCATTGTGAAGAGTATATTATGGGAAGCTTACCTGTGTGTCTGTTTATAATGTGTAAGAGATATCTGGAAAAGTCATAAAATTATAGTCTGGATTATCAGACAGGATAATTGTCGGCTCAAGTATACCAGTGAAATATGTTTAGAAGTTTTAGTACACACTGACTTTTTGGCTGTAGGTTTTTTGACTGTTCAGTGATCTTTGCTGCTGCAATTTACATCAGGTTTTAGAAACATTTGCCAAGTTTTCACATGCTGTCTGATTTCACCAGACAGCACGCTTTAGACAACACAATATTCCTCCAACTGATGCCTGATATGTTACAAATAAAAGCTAAAGCAGCAGCATTTTGACTTGCTCCTGTTTCATAGGTAGCCATATGTGTGAGTGTCAGTGTGTGTGTGTGTGTGTGTGTGTGTGTGTGTGTGTGTGTGTGTGTGTAGACATTGTGGCAGTTGGCTTCTATACCAGGATGCACCTGAGGCTGTTTGCCTGCTGCCCAGGGGCTGAGGACGACAACCAGTAACGAAACAAAACCAGGAACCAGCAACAGAAAATGTGGAACTTTTATTTAGACAATGTCTGTGTGAGAGAAGTGAACGGCTGTGTTTCATGGAAGTGCTGAATGTCAATGCTTTTATCCGTATTTGATCAGAAAGAGTTGTTATGTGATCAGGTGTACTGTCTGCCACAGCAACATTTATTTTCCATGCAGCTTTTATCATTAGTCTTGCCCTGGTCTATTTTCAGGAGGCTTTAACAGTTTTATTTTAAAGGGTTGATTCACGCAAATTTTAAAAAAAGTCGTTTTTTTTTTTACTTTACCTCTGTCTATATGTGCAGATGTTTTTGGTTTTATTTGTCTGGGTGAGATTTTTGCCTCCATCCAATACAATGGAGGTGAATGGAATATAGTCTGTGGTGCTCCCAACAACGAAAAATAACATTAAAACTGTCAACAGCAAATTATAAATTCAATTCACCTCCACTGTACTGGTGTGCAGGTAGAGATATCAGAGACTAATTTAAGAGCTGAGTGGGAAAATATGGGGGTTTGGTGTAATTTGGGTGAATTGACCCTTTGACAACATTTTGAAATCAGCTAGCAGACAGCAGGGGAGAGACACTTTCACTGGACTGTGATAGTCCCAGCTCTGTGTAGATCAGGAGGATCTGTACCTGCACCTGCTCTCTCTGTCCATCTGTATTTCCTCATAATTATGTTTACATACATTTTGGAAGTGTTCAGTGATATCATTTTTTTGTTTGTTTCTTTTGCACTACATGGAAGTCACTCAGTGTCAAGGCAGATGGTGACCATACAGAGTGCACTATACAGTATAATACCAGAGACCAGAGTTATTGGGGTTTTTTTTTGGTTTGTTTTGGTTTGTTTTGGGTTTTTTGTTTTAATCCATAGTCCTTTGTGTGGTTCGATTTAGGCAACAAAAGCACTTTGGGTAGGCAAAAGGCTTTTCCTCTCTTAAACCAAGTGCCTGAACATAACCATAAACAAGTTGAAACATGCTTAAGTTGCTAAGAGCCAGTAAACAAACTCAGCCAACATTTTGCAGATACATTCAGTATTTTTTGTGACTTTGCAGATATGTGTGTTGAAAATGTTTCCTCACTGTCTGTGAGGAAACATTGTCAACACACACTGTCAAAACCATGATTCAGACAGACTCTTAAAATTTGCTATTTGCTGTTGCAAATTAAGATTCAAATGTAATTTCTAGGAGGCATGGTTGCTTAGGGGGATTTAACACAGACAACAAATACTGAACTTAAATCATTAAAATCATTCATGTGCTGCTCCACACCACTGTAAAAACCTGTCACATTTTTATTTTGCTTTTTTTCTGATACTTTCCCTTCATCCTGTTTTGGTAGATTTTGTTAGCTCCAGAATCTGAAACTGTAAAAAAACGCTAAACTTTGTAATTACACAGAATAGTGCAGACAAGCAGAACACGCTTCAACAGTATCACAACCTGCATCCAAACAGTTTCGACAAAAACTGAATATTTAAACTTTCATGAAGACTATTGTGTTAGACTGCATCAGTTTTAGCTGTGTGTACCTAATAAACTGAGTATATATTCAGTATAGATGGTATAGAGTCATGGCTATCTGTTTAGTTCTTTTTAGTTTCATCTTGTTTCATTACTAAAGACATTAACACTTTGTTTCCTAACAGGAAAACAAGGTATGTTATCAATCGAAGTGACTGAGTGAATGATCATTACACACCAAATATTAAGCTAGTTCAATTTCAAACGTTAGTCCAAGCCTGAGGTGAACACTGGAGAGCTGATACTTCAGTTCTTTCCCTGTCCCATACTATACTGTGGCAGTATGCAGGTTTATGTGGCGTGTTCTGAGCAGAAAGTGGACAAAATGAAGTATAAAGAAGTCTCTATGCTGGATATTTGAGGTTGCTGCTGATGTCCTCTATTGCAATGCAATGCACAAAGGAAACAGAAAAGAAACTCACATATGGAACAGATGGTGGAGAATCAGCTCAAGGCAGATCTCAGAAAACAAACAAACGAAAAAAGTATTAATGCTTAAGAAAGACTTGTTGCTCTCACTTTCTGAAGTTTGAAGTCTGGTAATATTCTATTCATTTTTTATTTTAAATAAATCACTTGAAAAGACCAAAACAAACAATGAATTGATCCCACTAAGTATAGTGTGTATATCGCCAAAGCCTGATAGCTTGTTCCTCTGTGCCTTACAACTGCATTGTTGTCCAAGTACTATTAAGAACACACGAGTCACACTTTTGCACCAAGGGACATCTTCTTTCATTACCATAAACACATAGTGCAGTTTATTTTGACTGAATGCCATATACACCATCCTGCTGCTGTAAATACTCACTGTGTATAAATCCTCCGCTGAAAATAGTCCCAAAGAAGTGTACAGTTTCTGTCTAGGTAATGCTTGCTAAAAACTACAAAAACTAAAAACTACAGTGCACTGCTTTTTTTAGGAAATTACTGAGTCTATTTTTTTTTATATAAAACTATGTATTTGTGCCTCACTTTTAAAGATTTGTCTTCACTAGCAACTAATGGGCTTGGGCTGAGGGCCACAGACAGGATACTGTAGGCAAGTCAGAAAGTATAGATAGACAACTAAGATAGTACCAGCCACTGGTGAACATGTTGCTTCATTTACTGCAAAACAGAAAGACGCAGTGATTTTTATTTTTTTTGTATCATAACCCCAAAAACTGTGTGCTATGACAATTATTATATAGTACATACAATATACAGTACTATAAATGTATCTAGTATGAAATTGGGAAACAACTTCTGTGACTGACTGTTCGCAGCAGAAATGTCATATTCAGCCCTGAAGACTAACTGAAGTCAAATAGATAATTGGGCCAAAGGGATGATATCACCCTACCTGATCCCAGTGCAGCTCATGTGTATTTTGTTCACTTTTACAAAAACATACAAGATGAAATGATGAGTTGAAATAGAAAATTTCTAAAAGTTTTTTTGTGCATGTGTGTGTATGTGCTTGCTTGTATGTAACCATCGTTTCCAGTATGTGTGCGTGAGTGTGTCAATGTGTATGTAGACAGAGCTCTAATACAGGCTTCCTGCACTCAGAGCTGATTTGCATGAGTTGATCATTTCCATACTGGAAGTTTGGCTGTGAAGCTGGTTGTGCTGGGAGAGCAGAACCATAGTAGGGTGGTGGTGAAGTGTGTGTGTGTGTGTGTGTGTGTGTGTGTGTGTGTGGGTGTGTGTGTGTGTGTGTGTGTGTGTGTGTCCAGTTGGGGGTGGGAATGTGGGGTGGAGTGTGTGGGGGTTATAGGTATATTTGCATTGTGCGTCTCCATTAGCTCACTGCCTCTCTCTCATACACACATAGTCCCAAAAGCCCCATTTGACATTCAAATGATGCGAGCTTTATCCAGTTTTATGAACTCTCCTCCTCTATCAGCTCCCTCCCTGTCCTCACCACATACACTCCACAACGAATGCTGTATATTTCAGGAGGAAAACTGCACTTCTTGAAAAGACTTCTCAGAAGTGTGTTTTTCTACACACTACTCTGTGTGTGAACTATCAGTTGTGGTGTATGAAGTAGTAAAAGTCTTAATACCACATTGAAAAATAAAATACCCTATTATAAGCAGAGGTCCTGCAGTGAAAATGTTACGCAAGTATAATCAGGAGAATATACTTAAAGTAGGCTTATCAAAAATATATATACCCAATGTAGACAAACAGCCCGTCTGACTATAGGCCTATCATCAGATCACTATTAATGTGTAAGCAGCATTTTACTGTTGTAGTTGAGGTGCAACCAGTTTTTGAATATTTCATTAATGGCTGCAACTAATGGCTATTTTCATTATGGATTCATTTGGTTACCATTTTCTTGATTAATTGAATGATAGTTTGGTGTGTAAAACTTTAGAAAATAATGATAAATTATTGCCAACAGCCAAAGTGACACCTTCAAATTGCTTGTTTTGTGTAACATTTTAACTTGGGACCATGTTAGAAATAAATGCACTTACTTTGACACATTTTCCTTCAACTGGTGCGTTTTGTATATCCATAAATAAATCAAATCAAATCAAAAACAAACTGCTCAGAAAACTGCTGCCAAAAGCCAAAACATTCGGCCTTGTCTTGCAGCAATTGTTTTCACTCAATTTATTTTGAAACAAAGTTAGATGAAAATCTACTGATGCAGTCTGAAAATGATGTCATTGAAGCTGTAAAAAGAGAAAGATTTAGTGGTGAAATAACAGTATAAACACACTAAATATGATTTTTATATGATTTAATTTATTTTGAGTCAAAGAGCATAATTTTAATAATCTGAATCTCTCTCTCTCTTTTCTGACATTTAGGGCAAAACGGAATCGACTTCAATCGACAAGTGAGTATCAGAGTTCAAAATAACTTCCTGCACTTCCTTAGTTCCAATTCCTATGAATGAGGATTTCCATGAATGGGGTCTCTGTCATCAGCAGGCTTTGGATTGCTTTGTGTAACATGTAGTAATATTTTCCTGTTTGCAAGCATGCTTAGGCCCTGTTCAAGCCTGGCATTGACATGCGTCTCAGGTGATCCGATCACTAGTGGGCAGCTCTAAGTGCGTCAGTTCACACCTGGCATTAGAATGCATCTCCACATGTGTCTCTGGTGACCGTTTGGGATCAGATCTTTCCCGCTTCATATGCAAATAAATATGTACATAATTTCTGTTTGCAAACACCAAATGTGTTGTTGTTTTTAACGGACAGGAGGCAGAAATGCACTTCCTGGGCTTCGTCTGCCAGAAATTAAAAGAAGAAGAAGGAATCAAGTCAAAAATCGAAATATATCTCTATGGGCTTTTTCAAAAATTTTCAGACAGCCACTAAATTAGTATGAATGTGGTCACTCAGACCACATTCGGAGTTGGTCTGGGAGGGAATGTGGTCTGAGTGCTCAGGTCTCAGTGCGTCCTCAGTGTGTCTTGGGTGCATTCACACCTGTATTTAGAGCTGTCCACATGTGATCAGGTCACATAAGATGCATGTTAATGCCAGGTCTGAACAGGGCCTTAGACACAGTGATGTTTTATATCCAGCACAGTGGGTGAAACTCTGATGATGCCTTTTTTAAGGACAGACATGGATCAAATTTATGTCTTAATCTTTGGCAAAAACATGAAGTAACTTATAAACATGTTGCTACACCATCCACCTCCATCAGTTTTGGTATGTTTGGCTTTTATTTAATTTACAAAAAGGTTCGGTAATTTCCTTATACAGCTGGGCACTGCAATTTTTTAGGAAATTTTACTAAGTAAGAGTAAATAGTGCATCATTTGAGGACTATTTTCAGTGGTGGATTAATACACATTTGGTGTTCTAATGTAGTGGTTTCCAATTAGTACTTGCAAACCCTTGTTGAAAGCAGTTTTAACCAAAGAGTGAAATTGTCTAAGAAAAGATATTTCATTTTGAAAAAGGGTTTAGGCTCATTGCAGCTGTGTGGCTTACTGATGTGTTTTGAAAGGTGATTCAAACAATCGAGCTCTGACACAGAGGAATAAGATCAATCAGACTTCAGCAGATAGGCAATACTTGTTGGGATGATCAATTCATTGTTGGTTTCGTGGGATTTGCTGAAGAAAGAAAAATACAGAATATCCCAAGACTTTAAGTCTGTATTCTTTGGCAGACTTAATAATGAAGTTCAGTTGGAATATAAACAGCCCAGAGCCATGTGAATGATACCAAATGTACCTTTACCCGAGACATGAGGCTCAACTGACTTTTAGATGGCTAACATCCCCAGGATAAACTACCTGCTCTCCCCACAGACTGTCAATAATGACTGCCATCTCTTTATAAACATCTCAGATGGTTTGCAGCTATTTGGATACTTCTCCAAACATTGTTATTGTACCTTTCTTTCAGAGCTCATGCTTCCAGGAAGTGCCATGGCTTTCAGGGGTTGAAGGGGATGGTGGCGAGGGGAGGGGAGAGGGGGAGGGATATTTGCATACTGGCTTGCCCAAGGGGAGGGAAGGAGTCATCACTCCTTGTCACTCTTTGTATAATGTTTAGTAACCAAACTGGTCCTGGAGTTACTGTGTGTGTGTGTGTGTGTGTGTGTGTGTATGTGTGTGTGTCTGGGGGTGGGGTTGAAAAGGTACACGCAGGAAAGGACACGATTATTTACTAAAAAAAGTCCTGCATGCATGTATGTGTATCTGTGTGAGATTAGTACAAATCATCCAATTTTGTCTCATCATTTATGTAGCTTTAGTTTTAATATTTATGTATGTATGATTTTCCATCAGGTAGTTATTGTAACACTGAAACATTAAATATGTATGCACAAGTTTCCCATCCTCTCAGCTCTTCTAAAATTTATTTTTTAATCTGTTCATAAGTAAGACAGTTAATGCTGTGCTTTCGATGTCTTAGATAAAGACAGAGGACATCAACGACTCACCTCATACAGCTTCCTCACTGAAGACATGTCACCTGACACAGAGTACTCCAGTGCATGGTCAGCTCACTGGGGTAAGACACAGACTCTGGTTATTTTACATCTAAGCATGTCGTCTCTGAGTTTATGAGCCTTTCATCAGAGTCGGGTTTTCACAAAGGGGCAGTGTTGGAAGAACTATTCAGATTTACTTCAGTAAAAGTAGAAATACAACACTGTAAAAGCACTTGTGCTTTTTAAATCTTACTTAAAGGAGGAACGATCAAAAATGTTGTGTAACATCTGAAAGACATTTAACAGCCCACTTTATGGACTTATATCTCTGCCTGTGCTGTATCAATTTTTGCAATTTTTTTTTTTAAAAACCTGTCTCTTGTAATTCCCAAAACTCTATGGACGTGCAGAACAGGATCACTGCAGTCCCCCATTTCAGCAAGACACTTTAAAGACACAAAGAAATCTGTACACATTGTCGGTCACTTGTACGCCATTTTTTCATCCTACACACGTGCTAATAAGACTTTATGATGTGCAAGAAGGTTGTTGAAATTGCAGTACATTTTATATATATTATATCACTGAGTTATTATTGCAGATGCATGTAAGAAACATTGTAACCAGTGATAAACCCTGAAGCTTAGTTTCCATGTACAGGTGAGTTAAGACTAAATCTTTTGTCGCTGTGTGTTTTGTTTTGCTCCAGGAGCTCACCTCTCTCCACACCATGCAGCAGCTGGTTCTGATGCCACCGTCTCACCTGTCATCTCCCTCCCCTTTTCTGCTCTCCCAGAGCCCCACCAGTCACCAAGGTGGGATCTTAAAAACAACTTCCACTGCAGAGAATTCATGTCATTCAGTCCCTCAAAATGTTTCTTCTGTGGTCAGGATTTCTGAAAAACAATGGCTGGTCGGGATGAATTTGGGGGAAATGTGCATAACATCAGGGCTGAGTCATATGAAGTAATATGATCCACAGATTATATGATGCAGTCATACAAAATGGTAATTTAGATTTGATTCTTCAGCCTAATGTGGATTCAGTGAAGTGTGTAAAAGCAGAAAAGGAAAATAGATGATATTGTCATACAGTGTGATTTGTCTTTCTTTTTTTTTAACTAACTTAAAAGCTACTCAGGGAGAAAATCAGAGGCTGTAGATTTCAATACCTCATAACAGCTCAACATGAACTTGTCATAGTTTGTTACTTTAGAAATTACACACACATATGTATTCCCATGGACGAATGGTGAACTGGCAAGATGTCATGTTATTGAAGGAACATTTTAACTTTTATTGAAATGCACTCATTTGTTTTCTTTCTTTTGAGTGGGAAGTACAGAGATGGAGTCAGGAGGCTGTTAGCCTAGCTTAGCATAAAGACTGGGAGCATGGGGGAAGCAGCTAGTCTGTCTTTGTCCAAAGTTAAAAAATGAACCCTGCACCACCTCTAAAGCTGCGTGTTTGTGATGTTGTATCTTGTTTTGTTTAATCCATACACAAACATAAACATAAAGACTATTCACAATTATAGGGGTCGGGGGGGGGGACAAAAGTTTATCCATTCACCAAGCTCACCAATTGAGATGTCTTTAATTTGTCCATAAACAGAAATATAAGTACTACAATTCGTGGGAGTCTTGTTGCCACAAACAGATAACTGATCAAAAACCTGCTGTTTTTCCTTTGCAGCTCTCCTGCAGCAGAACCTGCTGTCCCTTCCTAGCCAGAGTCAAACTAGTCTTCTTCAGCATCAACCTGGACTGGCTCTTACTCCACAGGTAAATCAAGACCACTTCCTGTCTATACACACATCGGCTCAAAGTTTAAGGTTGCAAGAATTTGACATTGGATAATGTGGCATGTGCTGTTTAAAGCCCCTATAATCAATATTTTTATATCAAAAATGGATATCATGACAACTTGTATGTGGAAAGTGTCGCTCATAGTAGAAAACCCACAGACAATTCAACCAACTCTGCAGTTCTCCTCAGCTCAAGGGAGCTTTATGACATTTTAACTCACTGGTTTGGTTTTATATCCTGCAACTTTACGTTTGATTTACTGTCACCGCTCTCAGCAGGCGAGACTTGCTGGTGAACATAGTGGAGCATTTAGCAGCTAAACAGCCAGGTATTAACATCTGGCAAAATTGTATGCCCAAGGAAAGCAAACACCTGATCATCACCTCTTTTACATCACCTCAAACTGAAGATTTTTTTTTTTCTGTGATGTTTGTCTGGTCCAGGCTATGAGTCGCTCTGGTCTGGCAGGGTCATCTATGGAGACCCACATGGACATGTCTCACCTGCAGATGCCCAAACACATGTCGGTACCACCACAGGAAGAACCCAGTGATCTGGAGGAACTGGAACAATTTGCAAAAGCATTCAAACAAAGACGCATCAAACTGGGCTTCACTCAGGTAATGAAAAGAAAGAACCCCACTTGGTTTTCCTTTGAAGACCCTGAAAACTGAAAACAAAAATGTCAATCAGCTTCCTTCTAGTGCCATTATGGTCTTACATAAGTACATCATTTTCTGCCAAAGTTTGGTCTCTTCACATTTTCTGTAATTGTGTTTTGAAATGAGCAGGGCTCAGTTGGAAAAATGATGATATCTATACACTTCCACACACCAATCAGGAATTAGCAACGTCTGAATGAAATTTTGATGACAATTGTGGGGTTGATGGCTTATGCTGAGAGCACTGTCAATGAAATATGATTGAACCACACCCACACAGTCCTCATGAAGCAGATTTACTTCCAAACCTAAAATGTTTTTGCTTCCATATTTCCCAGGTAGCTCCCTCAGGTTTTATTTGTTGTTACAAGACCGGGGTTACAGTGCTGAAGCTTATAGGTAACTCTTTTTGCCCCACAACATACTGCATAATTCTTTCCAATTTACAGTGTAATTTTTTGCAGTATTATTTTTTACAGTGTACCAGTACAGTATGTATCAATACATGTAAGTAAAAGTGGACAAAATGAATTATTTGTGTGCAAGGTAGTTGTTGTTCAGTAGGTCTTATTGTACCTGGTAATGACAGAATAAGAACCTGTTAGTTAAAACATACCTAGAGTATATGTTCGTTTGAAGTTCCCAGATTGTTACCCTCTTATTCCCTATGTCCACATCTTGTTCCTTTCAGTACGTACTGTACTGGCTGACTGTTACGACCAAAGGTTACATGATGAATTGATAAGAATTGGGATGTACATGGCGGGTCATAAAGTGTTAACCTTTATTACAGCTTTGGTCTTATTTTCATATTTGCCATCATGCCTGTGGCGACTGTGCTTACTGTAGTTGCGTTCACACATTAGATTATTAGCGGCATTTCAGATGTGTACACCTTCAGTTTTCATTCTGAATAAAGTGGTTAAACTGTTGATTTGTTTTCAACCTTTCTGGTTGTCTCATGTTTGTTGCCCCATTGGACCTGTAGCAACATCACTGTGTTTCCAGATCTCTCCAACTACTTTCATAGGCTAAGTACAATAATAACCTAAGGGACAGAGATGATGGACAAAACTGTGAAAATATGAAGTTGAAATACACAAGAATGATTCTTTAATAATAACCAGATGTTGGACCTGTACAAATACTTAACATTACACATTTGTTACTGCTTTTGCTTGGATCCAAAATTTATTTAGAGAATAATGTTAAGTGATTAACCCTCAGAAGACAATACATTTTTCAGAGGGAAGGTTTCATGTTTGCAGGGATCAGATTTAAGGATCTATTTAGGGTTCAACTTTTGTTTCTCAGTCTGGACTGACACTAATGACGTGAGATGTGGTTGAGAGCCCTGGAAAAAAGATAGTAAATAAACTAGAGTTAAAATTATTTTGTCAGACTGATCAAATAGGCTTTACTATGTGCTAAGATCTACTTTTGACTTTTCCATGCATGGATGATCATGGTTAATGTGTGTGTCTGTGTCTTCCACCACAGGGAGATGTGGGCCTTGCGATGGGAAAACTGTACGGAAATGATTTCAGCCAGACCACAATCTCTCGCTTTGAGGCTCTCAACCTCAGCTTCAAAAACATGTGCAAGCTCAAACCCCTTCTGGAGAAATGGCTTAGTGACGCAGGTACATTTCTATTTTTATTACAGTAGCACGATGATTGATGATTTTGGCTTGATGTGAAATTCTCTCTTTAAGTAGAAAGAGGAGCAACAGAATTAAAGTAAAATATTTTACAAAAATATTATTTCAATCCAGACATCTTACTGATCTTCAGTATTAGCAATTATATTATATTATTTTTTTATATATATTATATTATATTATATTATTAGATGTTAAATAATAATACAGATGTATGTATCTGTAACAATAAAGAAATTGTTGAATAGATTGTTGAAAGTTTGAATAGAATACCTGCCAGGATGAGACAGGTTCTTCAATGGGCTGTTTAGCCTGCCCCCCCCCCCCCCCCCCCAGAGTCTAGGATCACCACTGCTGATGTTATTGGTTACACCTGCGGTTTTCCTGCTATGACCTGTCAAAATGTTTTCTGTGTTGCTGTCATCTGAGAAAAGGAGATGATGGAGGTATCAACCAGCGAGTTGCATATTACAGCAAGCCACAACAAGACAAGTAATAGAATTGATGGAGACCTAAAAACCTAAAAAGAAAAAAAACTTGTTGAGCAGAAAGACAACTTTGCATAAACTGTGACAAAAAAGAAATATGCTCTAAAAAGTCAGGTTTTTATTACAGCAGTCACTTGCCTGATGTAATAGATGTTGAAAAGTGATGATAAATGTCCATGTTACATGTGTTTTTGCATTAGAGAACTCACCTTCTGATGCGATGAGCAACCCTACTGCTCTGCCACCCCTCATGGAGGGCTACGGCCGCAAGCGAAAAAAGAGGACAAGCATTGAAACGAACATCAAGATGACTCTGGAGAAACGCTTCATTGATGTGAGTTCAAGACTGAATCTATACTATACTATACATTTTTATAGTGAAACTGCTCTTTTTTTCTAAGTTATTAATTGTGTATATGTCTGTGAATGACATTAGATATTAACAGACATTAATAAACACTTATATCTGCTTTGTATCTGCTACATTATAATGTGTTGTAAACCATTTGTCCAATGTTTATACACTGTAAAGGACTGTTAAGAGTGCCAGAATTTTAACATTGTCATTGTGAACATGTTAATATCCTAAAAATTTCAAATTGTACAAAAAGTACATAACAACTGTTGCCCACCAAGCATGTCTTATTCATGGCAGATGTCCTAACCTTCCCAATACAAACATTATAAGGAGGGAGTCATGAACATTTTTGATTTTCAGAACCCCAAGCCCAACTCCGAGGAAATAACCCTGATCTCAGAGCAACTGTCCATGGAGAAGGAGGTGGTTCGAGTTTGGTTCTGTAATCGACGTCAGAAGGAAAAGAGGATCTACTGCCCAGTGGCTAGTTTACCTGTCAAATCACACAGCTACAACTCCAGAATGGTTAGCTTGTCTAAAACACCTATCTCTTTCACGTACAAACACTTAGGACTGTTAAACTGTGGCAGATGTGTGAGCAGCTGAAATATTATACTATTGTCATATGACACTTTGTACTTTCCCTTTAATTCATGGTCCATGTTTTGCCACAGTCTTGGCATAATGTCACATTCATGGATCGCTTTCTTAAATTTTACTAATATGCTATTGCTAAAATCCTACTGAGGCCTAGAGACAAGCGTAGGACCAGCAGTGGCTGAAGTTCTCGCCTCGCTGCAGGGGTACGTAGGGGGTGGGCGGTGTACCATGCGCAAGATTTTCAACTCTGTGATTAATTTGGGAAATTAAAATTCTTCACTTTCTGAGAGTAAAGATTTTAGTCTAGCTTAGCAATAAAGACTGGAAGCATGGGGAAATGTTAAATGTGCATCTATCATCACCACACCACGCTTTACTTTAAGCTCCCTTGCAAACTAAAGGACAGAGAAGTCCTAAATGAAACTTTAATTATCTATGTCATGGCAGCAGATGAAAAAACAGATCAATCATCAAGCCACCACTGAGCTCATGAAATAAATAATTGAATCTTAAACCTTCAGTGTGCAAGAGCTTTTACAGCTGACATTGACTTGACACACATTTTTCCCTTGAGCATAGTTGGAATCATTTTAAAAAATCAAAAACAGTTGAAGTCAGAAAAATGCAGATCCTGTAGGTATTGTGATATACTGCTGAATATGGAACGTGTTGGTCGTAAAGCAAGTATATTTCACAATACAAATGTGAAGTAGGTTTTATCTAATATATTTTCACATTGTTTCAGGCATCAGCATCCAGATCCTACAGCCCTCTGGCTTCAGGTGGAGGCAAGTTCTGTTTCCTTCATTCACCTATTGACTATGAGCCTCTCGTTGTAACCTGATTATGATTCACTCCTTTGTGACAACTGTATGTAACGATATGCTTCCCTGCGTTACTGTTGCATTTTACAACACTAGTTTGAATGTTCATTCTTGACCTTGGAAGCAACATATAGTAACATTTTCATCTCTTATTTTACTATCCAGAGCTAATTCGCACATTAATCCAACATATACTGAAAAAAGTATGTGTGAATATTCAGTAATGTTTTGACCTTTTCTTTCCAGTTTCATCAAATTCCTCTCCAAACAGTGCCAGCCGTGAAGCTTCCCCCAACGGCTTGTCCACAGCCTCTTTAACATCTCAGGGCAACCCAGCTTCCTACAGCACACCAGGGTAAGAGACCTTCACCTAACACCCCTTGAGGCAGCTTTTCTCTCATACTATTAGTAGATACTGGAGCCTTTCAACTTGTTTCAACTTGTTCCATTTAAAATCTATTACCTGACATTTTTGAAGGAATGGTTCAATATTTTGTTAAATTCATTTAGTCGTTTTTTTTCTGAAAGTGAGTTGAGAAGAACAATATCAAGCAAGGCAGCAACGCCGACAGCAACAGACAAAAAAAAACGAAACAAAATAACAACACTAGAGTCAGTAAGCAAGAGAACAGTTATCGAGAATGGTCTTGGTATTAGAGTATTGATCTTTAGGAGACATTGCAGATTATTTCAAGACATTGTTGCACTTAATACATGTACGCTGCCTTGATACATGTACATTAAATATGAAGTCACAGCCAGCAACTAGTTAGCTTAGCTTAGCATAAAGCGTGGAAACAGGAAACAGCTAGCCTGGCTCTGTCCAAAAGTGACAAAATCCACCTATCAGCACCTCTAATGTTCATCAATTAACATGTTATAATCTTCTCATTTATTCTTTTTGTATTGAAAGAAAAACGTAAAAATTACCCGATTGGTGGTTTTACAGGGAGTTGTGTGCCAGACTGTTTTTTTGACAGACGTGAGAATATTATTATTACCTAAAATGTTGGACTATTTCTTTAAATTAATTATCAAGAGTTAATTGCTTGAAGAAGTTATGTTTTCTGTCTCTTTTATTTTTCTGAGTGAATAATCCTGTGACCCTCCCTTTGGCCTTTCAGCTCCTGGTACCGCACATGGAATCCTGCTTCATATCACTGATATGAAACATGAACTGTATCATATGAAGCTTTTAAAGATTTTTTTTTTTTGTTTGTTTGTTTTTGTTTGAGAAGGATGTACACTCAAGATGTGACAGAGTAACACAATATCCCTGTTATGAACGGGGGTTACAACCACAGGCTAAAACTTTTAATGGACTCGTGAGACAAAACAGCAGCACAAGCCGAGGACTGCGACACAACACAAATCTGTCAACAGTCAAGCTCTCACGCATCCCAACGGCCTCGAGCTGTTTGATTTGCGTTCATGTGACTCTTTACTCTCCTTAGATCAGCTGCAAAAGATGAAGAATACACAGAAAAGCACACAGTGACAGATAACAGAAACACTGGTGGGAGTTCTCACGTGTTCTTGCCCGTATGCTCATGGCTTGGATTTTTAACTGCCAAGACTCATATAATGTGTTTTCGAATGCTGACGGATTCAGGTCCACATTCACTAAGATTGTGTGTGAAGCTTTTCCTTACGCCATCTACAATGATCTCTGTTGTTGCTGTTATGATGTGTTTTTATGTTCACATTTTAGTGTTGTGTTAGTGAATTTGACGTAATCCTACATTGCGTACTGCTAGCCTGTCTAAATAAATATGCAGCCAAAACAAAGGGAATAAACTGAATTTACATCTGCATGTCCATGGCTTGTGCAAAACAGTCTTTCATTGAGCATTGCAAGATACCATAAGTGAACAGAACGGCTTTTGGTTTGGTCATTTTAGTTCTTTAGGGATAATTCTGGTTTATTACACAATTTTTCTTATTAGTTTTAATCACACTGTACTGACCAAATAAATAATTGAAATCTAGGAAAATGGTGATACTGCAACAAAGGCCAGCGGGGGCAAGAAACATGATCAACCAAGAAAACTCTGTGTACACTACTCTGACATGCACAGTATGTTAAAGTTGAACCAGACAGTCAGTCTATTACAATAGTCAAAATTTTTATTGTTTCTTCCAAACAAGTTTGTCTAACCTGGAGGTTTTGTCCTGAACACACTGTTTTCTGGCAAAGTTGGAACTGTTCTGGGCGACATTTGAATCAAAATGCAACGACAGTTGTTGGGTCGTTTTCTCTCATTCAAACCATCAAACCACACCCACTCAATCCTAATGGAACAGGTTAGCTTTGTTTTTGAGTCTTAAACTTTTCATAACCAAAGATGTGTTTTTGTTCTCCAAACTTTGGATTTGATTGTTTCAGATTTTGTCATGAATATACAGAAATACTTAACATTTGAAACCAAGTTTCAGGGGCTTTAAACAAATCTCCAGTGAATCTCAGCTTTAGCTCGTGTGTTAAGGTCTCAGTTTACTGCAAATTAATTAGTTTTTAGTCATTAGTCCACCATAAGTCAAAACTCAAAGTCAGGGAGAAAAGCCTGGCATCACAGCCTCCTCTTGACTGCATACCACTTCCTTCCTGATCTTTTGCGTGGCTCTGTAGTCTTCATGTGATGAACTGTACAAAGGTTGATTATGGCCCACTCTTTTTGACAGTCTCTCATTGGTAGTAACCATGGTCTTGCACTCGTTTGTACACACAAAAGGTGATTGACAGATGTTTATGCCCTGTCGTTCGTTGTAAATGTAATTCGGCAGTTGTAGTTGATGTGTTATGCCACCCTCTGGAGGGTTTTTTCCTTCATGTATTTTCATTTGACGTCCTGTCATCCAGCAGTGTGACTCCGCATCTTCTCTTAGAAAGTGTCAACTTTGCTGTTATAGCTGATTGGCGAAAAAAGGGTGGCAATATTATGTATTATTGTTATTGTCAACAACGTTTAGATTTCCCTACCCTATCTATGGCTCTCAGTCCCAAGACCACTGGTGCCTAGTGAAAATGTAAATCCCTTTTTTTAAAAGGCTCAGTTTTCCTGATTTCCTTTAACAGCTGGGCTCTGTCGTTTTTCAGCAAACAGCAAACAACATTTCAAACTAAAGTAAACTGTGTATTTGTTAGGGACTATTTTCAGCTGTGGATTAATACACATTTAGTGAGTATTTCTGGAATCAAATATCTAAGGCCATATTTGTGTTAATGAATGAACATGTGCAACTCAATGGCTCTTTATTCTTTAATGAAGCTCTGTGGCACAGAAGAATAAGGCTTTTTCTACACAGAGGATACTTTTCATGTGATGTGTTGACGATGAGAAAAATATAGACCTTCAAGAGACCTTCCCTTTAATCTGGATGTGAGGATGCGAGTCAAGCCCATTTTTATTCATGTAGCGCCAAATCACAACAACTTGCAGCCGGGGCTTTTGTTTGATTTGTCTCTTATTTTGTGCTTGTTGTTGCCCTGTTTCATACAGACACTCATAAAACTGCCTTTCAGACCTCAAGTCAAGGTCTGACTACTCTTGTTTGTTTGCTTGTTTAGTTACCTTTGTTAAATTAATTTCTGTTTTGAGTGTCTTTTGTATATTTTATTTTAGAGAAATGTTTTGCAGTGGTATGGAACTCAGCAAAGTAACTCATGACTTCATCATTCAAATAAAACCAGCCACTATAATTGTGATGTTATATAATGTTACAGCAGGTACTTGCTTAAAGAGTAAAGTTTTTACTGATGTAACTGAAGCTACCATGGTAAATGTTAAAAGTGGGTACAGAGCCATATGATCCTCTGAGTGTCCGGGAATCATTTGTCTTCACCTCCTGCTCCAGGGACCTAATTCATTTCTATTTACTGTCATTAAACAGAACATGTCAGTCCTGGGTTTGACTTTCTTTCTTTTTACATCCACCATGGAAGTGATGTTTTCATCCCTGTTTGTTTATCAGCAGGATTACGCAATAAGTACTGAACCGATTTGCACAAAACTTGGTGGAGTGATGGGGCATGGGCCAGAGAAGAAGCCATTTTATTTTGTTGTGGATCTGGTGAAAGGGGCGAATCAAGGAATTTTTCATCACTTTCCTTAATATTGTGTGATACAGCATTCTTCTACAATTTTGGCAATTTTTCAAAAAATAATGTATGGATTTTGATATAAAAAAATCAGACAAATCTATGGTGTTGAGATCTATGACTGTATGATCTGGTGACAGTAGGGATTGTGTGGCCTTGGCTGAGGGATGCACTCTGCTGAGTGCAATTCTAGTTTTAAGTATCTAAACATTTAATATATGATTTAGTAACATATTATAAACCATTTATTAAATGTTTACATTCTACTGATGAATGCTAAGCAGGGAAGGTTAAAATAAAGAGTTATCTTTGGGAGTTGACGATGTCGTAAATTTCAATTTCTTTAATTTTGTAAATCCTGCTGCCTTATTTCTTAAATTCAGACAGTGCACAATATGTTAAATTCAAAGTCTTACCTTGCTATTTTTCCTCACATGCTGCTACATTTTGCTTAATATTCATAATTTCATCCATGAAGTTGGCATAGATAAAAGTTGAGAATATAGGTGTGGATCTGGTCTGATTTTTTAAATGGCTTTTTCCTTACACTGCCATGAGATGTTGAACTGTATTCAGCCATTGTAGATCAACATATTTTAATTACTCAATAAAATATACAATCTGGTGAGAGCAGACTAGACTGCTAGTTCTACCAAACTGTCACGTGAAATATTATTTTCCTGAAATGTTGAGTATTGTGAGTATGCAGGATAACACAGAAAAAGACAAAATTAAGAAAAGGCACAGTATATACATTTTAATGATAAACGAATAAGAAAACAAACAAGTAAGAATGAGTAGATTTGTCATAAAAAAGCTTTGTCTCTATAAAGACATATTTCTCGCTGTTTTACAATAAGAAGAAGGCAGCTTCAATCTTCTGTTCAGTGCCTTGAATCTCCCACTGACGGCTTGGTTTCCATTCAGCGACAGTGGAAAGACGTTGTCCACTGTATATTGAGGTCAGTTTCAGCATTGTTTCCCTCTTTTATGTGTTTGGTTCCCAGTTTGCGTGTGTGAATAATTCAGATTTCTTTGAACCTGCAATAACACGTTGAATTAATGAAAAGTTAATATTGGTTTGACTGTTATGGCATATGAAATGCAATGAAACACAGTAGCACTGCTTATAATGTTTAATTTTGGTTCAGATTGTGTCAGAAATTCTATGCTTTCAGATGTTGTAAAGTTAATATACTTATTTTACTCCTTTTTTAAAGGAATAATTTGACATTTTAGGGAATACACTTATTTACAGACTTGCCAAGTGAGGCTCTGAACCTCTATTTTGATTGGCTGACAGTTTTCTCAGTTACTGAATTGCATTGAAAAATTAAGCAGATGTCAGGTAATCAAAGCGATAATTTTGGTTTTATAGGGAGTAGTAAAGTGCAAATCTTTCTTGTTACTCTTTCCTCTTTCATTACCTTTTGTCAGAGCCAGGCTAGCTGTTTCTCATGCCTCCAGCCTTTATGCTATGCTAAGGTAATAACCTACGGGCTCCAGCTCTGTAGCTAATGCACAGACGTAACGGTGGTGTTGTCCTTATCAAACTCTCTGCAAGAAAGTGAATAAAGTATATTTCCTTAATTGTTGAACTCTTCCTTTAAAGGATGAATTTCAAGTGCTTCTTTGATTAACAGTGTCTGAAATCTCCTTTCCAGTGGTAAAATCTTTTCTTAACCTGGGTTTTTATTGTATGCCATCCTTACTAGCTGTTGCAGCTTTGACAGATCTGCAGTTTTTGTAATGGTTTGCTATCTTGGCCAGGGTGTAGTTGAAAAATAGACATTTAACCTCAAGGGACTTCCTGAAATTAATGTAAGTAAAGGTAAGGTTTTAAAAAACACAGCAAAGCCAATGTTGTGGCAAAAACGCTTGGTGATACTCACCCTCTGACTCGGGGAGCACGTCCACACCAACCCTGAGCTTCCTTGTAAACGAGCCTGGACAAAAACTGAAGACAAGCAAACAACGCGTTAGTCAGGGTCTCGTTACACTACAGGAACATCATCTTCATGAGCCAAGACAATTCAACAATCCAAAACGTGGCTGGAATAAGCAGTAATGATAAAAAGCTCAATCTCAGCCTAATGTTTAAAGCTTTGCTGTAAAGTGATGAATAAAGAGATTAAGTGGTGTTTCTGACCACGCAGGCCAAGACATCGGCAGAGATGAGCATGTAGAAGACGTTGTTCCAGCCAGTAGGAGAGATCAGACCAGCTAACAGAGGACCCAATGCAGCTCCTGCAGAGAGCACATCAACATTAATACACTCAACTGTCTGTTGACTCTTAATATGAAACATCAAAAACATAACTTTTTAGACTTTTAAATAAATTTACAACAAAACATTATCAGTAGACACTGTCTCACACTGACCAAACAAGTGTAGAATGTGACCAATTTTCTTTGACTTTATAAACATGGATCTCACACAGCAACAGGATCAATACCTGGCTGTGAACAATTTATGCAGCAGTAACTTCATAAATCATTTAAATATTCCAATGTGGCATCACCAAAATTACCCCAAAAACAAATTGAATTAAACAAAAATGAAAATGTTCTCAGTCTTAGTGAGATCTGGGCATTTAAATTTGAGATATCTGTGAAATTTGTCCAATACGATGTAAACAGTGTTAATATAGTTTGTGGTACAGCATTAAAATATTACTTTCAGAAAATTCAACAATAACCAAAACAACGAGCTATCAAGATCAAGATGAATCTCTACATTTCTGACACTTGACACATACCTATTGAACCAGTCCCGTCAATAATTGCTGTTACTGTTGACAGTGCCCTGGAGTTTCCTCTCAGACTCTCATGTGTTCCCTGTTACAACAAACACATTAGAACCAGCGTTGCTTACGTTGTTCATTGATATCCACTACATGTGAGTAGGATTATAGAAAATGTGTATTTCACAAAAGAGGTTTTACAGATCGTAGAGCGGGAGGGTTTCCCATGATGCTTACCAGGTCAGCAGATACAGCAGTAGTGATGAGGGCGTACGGTCCGTTCACAAGGCCTCCACATACCAGCAGCATACCTACATATGGAAACACAGCTCTAAGTAAAAAGGCTAAAACTCAGAACCACTAATATAATAGGTAAGAAAGATTTTGATCTATCTCATCTGCTGAGCAATTTAGTTACTAGATGATATCATTAACAACTGCCTCATGTGACACATCTGCTCTCTTTCCATGTAGGTTAATGTTTCATAACAATGTAATTTTTTTTTTTTCTAATGGTAGCAGGGGTGCTCTTTGTTTTTGGTGAGATGTCACCGGCAAAAGGCATGCTCCAGCTTTGAATAGATGTAAGACAATAGTTGCAATGTGCAGACAATATGCAGCAGTGTGTTTTTGTGTCAATGTATGTCGAGATATTGGGAGTTAATTGTATAACTGAATATATCTTAATTGAATCCTGTTTGACCATCCAACATGAAACTTAAACATTTTCCAGTGTCATTTTATTTGTATTCAAATAGCAATCAATCAACAACATTTTAACATTAAAATGAACCATGTAAGCCATTGACAAGGCATCATGTAAAGCTGTTAGAATGAAAAAAACAAAAAAAGCACAGTAAAGGAGTCTTACCAATGGTAGTACCAAGGCTCCTTTGTCCAATGTAATTATAGAGGAAAAGCTAGAACATGAACAAATCAATCAGCAGAAATCACACATTCAAATTTATGTTAGTCTAGTCTATGTAAGTCTATGCTATGTTGGAAATTATTGTGATATTTATTCTATGAGGTGACGCTCACCATGGGGGCCGCAGCAAGCAACATGACGCAGCAAGTTGTCGCTCTCCCACCCGTGTAGTCAGACACAAGGCCTGCCATAATGCCCCCTGTACACACAAAACATATCCAGTCACATTATATCTTCCTAGCTGCATGATGATCATGATATCATGACCATCGTGATGATTATGATGAACCATTTACTTATAGCTGGCAGAGAGTCTGCTTGGATTCATTTGGATAGTAGAAATATTGATGAGGAACCATGACATCATCCTGGCTAGTCAAAGGCCTTTGCTTAAGACTGTAGAAGCAAATAAATGCCATCAGGATTTTAATGTTACAAGCAACTGAATATATAATTGGGTACTGGGAATATGTGATCTACTACTGAAAACGTATCGCCGGAAACGTCAAGATTTCTCAAATTGGACTGGTAAAATTCAGACATCTACTTTGAAGATGAAAATTTCACACTTCGAGATCCAAGTTATTAAGGATGAGCATTCAAGCATGAAGGGAATCAGTCTGTCCTATTAGGTAATGTTCTGTCAGTCAGAACAAGTAAATTTAGACAGATTGCTTTTTAAGTACATTATTTCAATGCTTTAATTTCACTGGTTTACAAATGTAAACATCAAGTTTTGAGTGGTGGTTAAATTTACCATTAGGTATTCAGTTGCTTATAAAATTCAAATCAAGGAATTTTAAAAACGATGCTGCCAACACATATTCCTATTATATCCTATATATATTTTGTATGCAAGATATTTTCTTTTCTACTTTTCTACTTCTTCCATCTTTCAGATTATGTGATATGACTGATCAGTCAAGGGTCAAAGCTTACCCACAATTCCTCCTACATCAAACAGTGTCGACATGTCTCCTGCTTCTTTTGCCTCAAAATGTGCTGAAAATTAAAATAGAAATAAAATTTATATAAATATAAATAAAGATATACATATCTTTAAAATTCACTTTATATGATGTGGATGAAAGTGTATTATATGATATCATGCTCACTGGATAAAAATTAACCATGTGAGTAAACACTGACCAACATTTGAAATGTAGAGAGGAAGCCAGTACAGGAAAGTGTAGCTGACCAGCTTGGCGAACAGCAGACAGAGAGAGAACTCCATCACTCCCTGTGTGAGACA